GGCCCCGCTGCGCCCCAACGGCCGCCCCGGCGCCTCGCGAGGGACGCGGAGCGGCGCTGGCGCGTGGGAGCGCGGGCCCGGCCCCGCGTGGGGAGCGCGGCCCGCGGGCGACACGGCTTCTAACCGAGAGAGAGAGAGGGGAAAAAAGAGCCTTTCTCGGGCCTGGCTCCTTAGATCGCTTCGTTCTCACTGAAAAAACTCTTCGTTCTCACACTACTGAAAAAAACAAAACAAAACAGTCCCCCAAACCTCCATCTTTTTCTCCTAACTTTTCCTGTGCCCCCATCCCTCCTCACCCCAGTGGCATCGGGGAGCACCGGGGACAGATGCCCTGGCTGCTTTTTTGCCTCCTTCTCTGTTTTATGACGTGCCACGTCAACATTGCGCTGCGTGAGGACAGATGGGGTTAGAGCGGTGGGAAACTCGGCGTGGATATTCCCGGCTAAATAGGCCAGTCRGGGAAATTAAGTGCGTCCGTAAATCTGTGGTACTTTGCTGGTTGCTGGTGCAACATTGAAAGAAAAAAAAACCAAAACTTGTGCATCTGTGAATTAAAGTATTCCATGCATTCTTTTTCAGGACCCTTCTGCACGCACAGCAAAGAAAAAGCCAAATGTGCAGGTTTTCTGTGAATAGAAATTCCACTAGATACGCTAAAGAGCATGWGTAAGGCTCAGAGATCTTTGGGAGAAAGATTTCACTTTACTACTTAATACTGCACTACTTAACAGCTCCTTGATGAGGAAAAACAACCTGAYTTACATTATCCAAGATACAGGAAGGAATATTAAACACATTTTGYACAGATGCTATTTTCATTAAGTATTTGAGCATTATTTTTCAATTTAGCTGTTTATAAATATGAGTATATTTATGCTCTGTAAATGGAATAGGGTCTGCARTATGATACCAATAGCTGTAAAGGAAATTAGCAGAAGATTTCCTAGCTGTTTCAGGTGTCAGAGCGGTGCAGAGCTCACTGATAACCCAGGCAGAGCTTCATCTCATGTACTAAACAATAGTATAGTATACAAGAATACTAAATAAGCAGTATATAAGAATAGTAAATAATTGCCTTCAAATGTAGCAATTGCCAGAGGCCCGGTTCGTGGGATGAAAAAAGGAGGTGGCAAAAAATGCTTTGTTTCAGGAGAAGCCTGCAGTGCTACACTGCGGTGTTTCAGGCCCAGCACATCCCAGATGGAAGGTGAGAAGTGGTGCCCGGGGTGTTTGCATATGTGCACCATGGCTGTGCATGTAAATTCTGCCTGTGCTGCATAGTGGTGAGTGGGGAATCACATCACAGAGTTTCCTCCCTTCTGGCTGGTTTGCTGCTTTCCTGAGATTGATGTTTGCTTTTGTAAAAATTCCAGTTTTATAGCCTGTCTGCAGATATTTTTTTCTGAATTAAAAAAAAATTGTGGTAAGTAATGGAAGATGCTGGGGTATCTTCCTGGCCTGTTGCCTGARCTTTAGGTGTTGCAGTGAAGTGTGGCTGGTAGACTCAAGGCTAAAGATTCAAAGAATGTATTGTAGTGCCAGTTATCTTGGAATATTGCCTGCTAGGGCGGCTCAGGTAAACAGACAGCAGGACTCAGTGTCCTTGCCAACGCTGCCAACCTAACTGTTCAAAATTCCAGTGTGCTGAAGCCCGTTTGGTAGATTGGTGAACTCCCTGGTGTCGTGGATGTATTCTCGGGAGGGATTCTCGATCCTAAGCCTTTGTACAAAAGTGGAGGAAATGGAAGGATGTCACTTTATACATGCGTGGACAAAGCAAGAGAGATGTTCTCCTGGTTTTCCCTGGAAGGCACGGCTTTTCCTTCATGTGCATGGGTAGAAGTGAGCCTGGGGAGTGGGAGCGCCTGGTGGCATTTGGGGCTCGGTTGTTGAAGCGAGAGCCGAGCGGTTGCTGGGTGGATTTGGGTGCTGCTGGTGCGGCCCGTGGCGGCGGTTTCGATGGGTACCCGGGGCCGGAGGAGGTGCCCGTGTCTCGTGGCCGGGCGCGCGGTGCCGCTGCGAGGGAAGCCCTGCCGCGCGGGCGCTGGTGGCAGCGGTGCTGCTGCCCGCCTGGACGGTGTYGCGCGGTGTCTCACGGGGCTCGTTGGCGACTCGGCTTGCAGGGAGGAGGCCAAATACGCAGGTGTGAGGGGCRGTTAATTTGGGAGCTGCATCCAGTGTTGCTGGGAGATGGCTGAAGGTGGGAATCTCATATGGAGGGGGATGTGAGGCATGTGGGGAGTCCAGAGGGGACAACATGGGGGCCAACCAGAGGGGCACGTGACCTTCAAGGAGAGGTTTCCTCCTCATCAGTTTAGTGAGGAGGAGGGAAGGGACATTCATAATGGTACCTATAGCTGCCTGCACATCGGAGCCGAATCTTTCTTAGTAATAGCAGACACAGCGYGAGGCAGTGGCCACAACTTGCTGCCAGGTGGGCTGTCAGGAATAGTGCCCTCATCCAACAGGCTGCCCACCACTTGACAGTTCCTCTAGTATGTGCTGTGTGAATACCTGAGAGGAGCGTAAACTGGAATGACTGGGGGGATGAGAAACTAAGTGTGTAGGGAAGGGACRACAGGTGGAGGTGGAAACGTGGAACATGGGTGATAAGTCAGAGACGGTGCAGGGAAGAGAAACGCGAGGAAGTAGAAGCAGGAAAAGAAGGTCGTGGACAAGAGTGCCAAGGGTGAGTGAGGGAACAGGGTAATGAGGCCTGGTGCAGTTTGTTCCCAGGGACAATGTTTGAAGCCGCCAAGGAAGAACAAGGGCACGGGAACAGCTGGAAATGGTGGTGAGGCAGGGACAGGCAGCAGTCCTTGGCCGCCTGTGAAGGGGAAGGATGGTGACGCTGGTGAACACACACACACACACACACACACACACACACACAGAGGCCGCGGGACGCGGTGGGGTGCAGCGTGCGGGATACTGCACGGCAGGCAGGGAGCACAGGCGGACGTGGCCGGGCGGGCTGTGCAGTTACAGCAGGCGGGCGGTGGTGCCGCATCCAGGTGCGCTGGTGTGAGCAGAGCCCTGGCGCGTGGTCCCGACCGTGGGGCCATTCCCGGGGAAGCTGGGATCGCTTGGAGGCGGCCAGGCCTGTGCCGGGCTGCAGGGCGGGCTGGGGAGCGAGGCGCAGCCAGGAGGACGCACCGTGTCCCCGGCCCCGTGCCGAGGGCTGCACCAGACTGGGACGAGCGGCGAGGGCAGGGCGAGGGTTCCCGGCGGGCGCTGCCAGCTCCTCACCGCTGCTCTTCCCGCAGGGCCGGCCGCGCCGGAGCTGCCATAGCAACGCGGCGGACGCGGGAGCAGGCAGGCAGCGGGAGCGGCGCGCGGCGGCCCCACGGCCATGGTAAGCACGGGCGCCGGGAGCGGCGCCGCGCTGGGGGCCGCCGGCCCCCGCCTCAGCGCCCCCCTCTCTCCGCAGCCCTTCACCGAGCGCGCCTACTACCCGGCCACGGCCACGGCCTCGGCCCCGGCCCCCGCGCCCTTCCCCGCCTTCCAGTTCCGCGCGCGCCACGAGAGCCCCGAGTGGCGCCGGCTGAGCGCCGTGGACGTGGGCCGCGTGTGCCGCGAGGGCGACGTGGCCACGCTGCAGGAGCACCTGGGCCACGTGACGTTCTGCAGCGCCGAGCGCGAGCGCTGCCCGCACTGCCAGGGCCCCGCCGACCCGCTGCTGCTCAAGCTGCTGCGCCTGGCGCAGCTCTGCACCGAGTACCTGCTGCACTCGCAGGACTACCTGAGCGGCCAGCTCGGCGGCCTCGAGGAGGCCCTGCAGGCAGCGCACGCGCAGCGCGACCAGCTGCGCCACGAGCTGGCCCGCGCCGCGCAGGACCTCAAGGCCCTCAAGGAGGAGTGCCGGCGCAGGAAGAAGATGATCAGCACCCAGCAGATGATGCTGGAGGCCCGCGCCAGCTACCACCAGGTGAGGACGGAGGCCGCGCTCGTGGCCCYGCCGGCTCTGTGCCCGCTGGGGATCGTGGTGCCTCTTCAGGGCTCATCATGGCCCCTCTCTGTGGGCCGTGGTTGTCTCCTTGGGCTGCAGGCATGGGGCAGGTCCCAGAAAGGGGCTGCGTCACCTGTGCCTGTCTTGCTTCACCTCTCTGTTTCACAGGCTTTTGGCCATTTTTCATGGAATGCTACGTCTGATTTCCTGAATCTTCTGTTTGCCAATGACTCCTCTGTAGCTTCACTTTTCATGTGTCTAATGTGCCCCATATGTATGTGTGACCATAGCCCGAGATAAAMACATTAGTGCTTTCTGTCCCTATCTTTTCTCACCTGTCTACTGCATGTCTGGAAAACATACACAGCAAGTAGAGCAAGGCTGGTGACGAGCAGTGCCCTGCCTAGGCCGCTGTGCTAGTGCTGGCCTTCACGCTGTGTTTTCCCCACACACCAAGTGTCTGCTTCTGGGTGACCTTCCAGTGACTCGGGTGTGCRGCGATGAGCTCAGCGTAGTGCCCCGCCAGCCTGTCCCCACGCATCTCGCCCGAGAGGGTGAGAGCGCTCCTGTCCGACATCTAGGGCCAGGGCTCTTTGGTTTGGGGTATTTCTTGGTTTGGTTTGGTTTTGATCTGGACACAAGTGTGATTTAAATATTAGCTTCAAATGCCTGAAATCTGCAAAGTGTGGACTTGRCTCAGTCTTTACACAGTATTTCAGGCCAGCCCTGTGCCTGCAAGCTTAAAGTCCTGCTTTTCTTTGGCTGATTTTGGTCATTCCTGAGATATTCGGTAATTAAGCTCAGGGAGAGGTGCTGAATAATTGCCCCTCATTCTACACTGATTCAGGGTTCTGCATCTGAATGCAAGAGTTAAATTAAACTCTTTCTAGGATTTGTAAATACAGGTCAGCAGTGTGTTCAGTGAGCAATAATCTTACATTATTATCTAAGCCTTGATTATCTGCTGACCTGCAGTGCCTGATAAAAGGAGTTGCTGGTGTTCAGGAGAGTTCAGGTTCCCTTAAAGTCTTGGCTGTTTTGCAAACAAGTCCGTAAGTAGTTAGTTGCATTTTTTGGTAGATAGGCACTTTATTTCTAAYGAGAGGTGCAGTAACCATGCGTTGAAGTTCAGGTTTGTTTTTTTCCACTATCAAGGAAAATGCGAGGGAGAAAATACTACCATAAAATATCATAAACTTAAAACTCTTTTGCTCTATACCGTCATCTTAATAGTAAAGCTTTAGCTTTAAATATTACTTTTTCACTTTTTGATACCTTGTACTGAAATCCCTGAGTATTGTRCATGTGCCCATAGGTGCATCTTGCACCTAACACTGAAAAGCAGTTGCAAGAAGAATGTCTTGTGATTTAAAACCTCGATATTCCCGGTATTCATCCTGTCTCCTGCAGTAAGAGCTTTCTTCTACTGCCAGCAAGTCAAGCTGACAGAAAGTTTGTGCATGAATGGACAACACTGTTTCACAGCCAATTTCATCCCATAAATCATGTGCAATCTGTGACGCTGCAGCTTCCCCTCTGGTTCTTTGCTACATGCTATATTTCTTAGCTTCTGTTTTATGTTAGTGCTTTCTTGCATTTAACCAACAAGATCTGCCTCAATAATTCATGGGTTTTTTTTTAGTGTTTGTTGTAAGATATTTATATTTAATAGCCAACTTGCTCTCAGTARTGGCATTTTAAATATTAGATGGCGTCTGGGAATTTGGTTTTACTGACATGATCTTGAACGTGCTACATCAGTTTTTAAGTGTCTTTGCATTGGTGTCATGAGGAGGTGAACAGACTCAGTGTGGTAGTGTCTTATTAACACTGATTTGAAAAACAGCCTGAGATATGGGGAAGGAGCTGCCCTGCTTTGCTCAAGGAAATCAGGAGCTTCACAGTCCGTTCAGGCTCTACACCATCTACCTCTTTTTATTACTCTATAAATGAGTGGAATGTGCTTTCCAGATGAACTGAAAATCTTTTGTACTGGGATGGAATCCAGATTTCACTTAAAATATGACAGTTCCTTCGTTTCAACCATATATTCCGTTAAAATGCAGGACAAGCAGTAATGAACAGATACATTTTTCTCTGGTATTTTTCTTTGAAATTAAGTTTGCTATAAAGGAACTCGGTAAAGCACCTGGAGCATCTTCCTGGAAGTTCCATCATTTGTGTTGCACCTTGTTAGGTTTTGAATCTTAATAACATGAAAATTCTTTTTGTTTGTTTGATTGATTGTTTTTTTTCTACCTGATTCCCTTTATGGATGTCTGGGAAGGCAGTGATGCAAGAACAGGCTGAGACCAGTCGCTCCTCAAATTAATTAYAGATTTTCAGTATAAAATAGAAGAAGGCAGTGAGAGCAATACGAAAGGAAAAGAAATTCTTTTAGCTCTTTTCTGTGAAAAACAAAAAGCCTTAGTAGTGTGGTTTTAATTTTTAGCTATTTTATTAACAGAGAAATGAAAAAAAAAAGTAATGAGACAGGAGTTAAAGAAACTTTGGAGAGAGAGAGAAAAAAAAAGAATTTTTGAGCAGATATTGCCAATTCATTCTTGCACGGTATCTGCTACAGTTTATGTGTCTCCTCATACATCTCAAAGAACTTAATGGGGCATTAGGAATATTAAAGACATTGCTTGACTTGGTCATCAATGAAAATAGCTGGTAGAAGAATTTATAGTGAAGTGGAAAGATACTAGTGAGGAGTAATAAAATTATATTAAGAAATAAAAAATGACATGAGATATTAGGCAAAGGCTCCTAGAGAGTAAGTTTTATTAACAAAAAAGTATTTTTTTTTAGAAAAAGTAGAAGTAATTTATAAAAAAAAATCCATATTGATGCATTTTCAAAGCATCAATAGAACAACCTTTGGCTTCAACTAGTGGCCTATTTGGTATTTTCTGTCTCTAAGTTTGTTCTACTATAAGTCAGTCATTTTTCTAAATCAGCCTAATTAAATGTGGACTTTTTGACATGTTCAGCTGTCACCAACTGACATGTGTTCTAGGTGCTAGGAAAAGTCTGGTGATACTACTCTACAGAGGGAAAATATTAATGTTATTTTTTCTGTCTTTTTGACTCCTAATTTTGACGTATTTTTTTTCTGCAAATTTAAATTTTGCTTTAACTAGCCACAGAAAGCATGAACTCAAATGGAGTTATAGTTTAAAAATCTGAGTAAATAATAGGATCAGTAAGTAAAATAGCTTTATGCTGTAGAAGGTAGATGCTGAATATGGTACTAATGGGCACGTGCATCTTTTCTTTCAAAATTACTTGACATTATTGTCTTTGGGCTGAAATACTTGACCTTTTTATGTATCTAAGATCTTTCTAGTACTTTTATCTTACAACTAAAACCCAGTCTTTGTACTGAAACCCAACTTTAGTGATTGTTCCAACTATGTGTGCTCTCCTTTGCTGTGATACGTTGAGGAAGTTAGGCTGTTGGTTGGCTGGGCATAATATGTATTTTACTCAACATTAGTGTCTTATTTTTTGCTTATTTTCCYCAGTCTGCCTATATGCATCTCACCTCTCTTTTATATCTGAATTTGAACTTTCCAGGTCACAGTCTTTTATGTTCCAAGTTTGTGCAGTGTCTATGTCTAGCGCAATGGGATTCCTGTCTGTGACTATGACAGACAGGCACTGAATAACACAAATATTTTAATAATCGTAATGGGTATCTGGCACTGTGAGGATTCTAGTCGTCATTCTTTTTAAAGAGAATTTACTAAATTTGCCTATTTTTGACATTGTCTGGACAAAATATCATAACCTGTTAAAAACATTAACTGCTGTGCTTAGCAAACACAAAGGTTACTAACAATAAAGTTAATAATCATAGAATTATAGAATCCTTAAAGTTGGAAGGGACCTTTAGAGGTCATAAATGTTATATTTTTTTTTCTAGTGCCAATTTTGTGAGAAGGCTTTTATGAACTATTCATTTTTGCAAAGTCACATGCAGAGGCGTCACCCAGAAGAATCTCAAGTTGGTATGTGCTTTAATATTATCAAGAAAATTAATATAATAGAATAGAAATGTGTAAATATGTTGAGGTCTRGTGCACTTGTGCAAAAAAGATAGCAAAACTATTTAAACTAATTACCGGATTAACTTATTCCAAAATAATATTTAGCTTTGTACTCAGATTCCCAAGTGACAGGCAGCCTAATAAATCCTTGGTAAGCTGTTAAAGTGTTTCAGGATTTTAAATGGTTGCAAAATTTGCATGTTTTTAAACTGTTTTTTTACTATGATACTYCTAGTGAAACGGAAGATCTAACTTACTACAAATAAATGGCAAGTTTAATTCCAAATGAATTCATTACGGAAATTGGTTAGAATAAGTTAAATTATATGCTACTAGCATCATATGATTGAGATTCATTTATCCCTCATCCATCTTTTTTGAACCTGTTTTGAAATTACATGATACTTCAATGCTTGCCTGAATCTTTTCCTTCTAAATATTTCATGAACGATTTGAGAAGTCACTAATGCTGTTATTTTTCATTCTTGAAGAATAAAGTTAGCAGTTCAGTCCAACCTATTTAAAGCCTTCTGTGGAACGTCATGTGGGAGGGCAAATGGTACATGAGAGTCACACTTCATGAAGATGTTACTGAAACATTCTAGAAAAGCATTTGCAATAAGTACCACATTTTCAAAAGTTACAACAACCTTTTCTTTAAAATCTTTTTTTCAAACAGAACAGAAAAAGAGCGCAAAGACGGACAAATTGCAGGAAGAGATCAATAAACTGAAGGAGCAGCTAGAATTCACCAAGTCCCAGTTAGAGGCTGAACAACATGCTAATATGGTTAAGTTTTCCAAGGTAATAAGGAGGAAATAATGTGAACCTCTGGAAAGCATTAGTGCTTTGGACTGTGTGTTGCTTGTTTGGTAACTGGAAAGGAAYGAAAAGGTATGTACAGCTGGCCCACCTAGGATCAGTGTTGCTTGGACATTAGAGCATAGCCATCCCCGTAGCTTTAAACATCTCATTTCTCCTTGTTTTGATGATAGACATATTTTAAATGACTACTAAAGACAACACTTCTGTTTGCATTTGCCACTTCGTAAGATGAGCGTAAGCTATTGGTTCAGCAGCTCGAATTACCCTTTACTAAGAGAGGTGTGCAGCAATGCCAGGAAGGAAGATGGGGAAGAAACAGACAAAYTATATAGATTTTAGAGTTGAGATGGCCAGTGAACTAGAGCAGAAATAGTCTTAGCCRTTACTGAGAGAATAAAAAAATAATAAAACAGAGTAGTTTACAGCAGTGGTAATGGGTTTGTAATCACATGCAAGGTGTTAAACCTTGTAATGGTGCTTACTGACTAGGAGAGAGGACAGAGAAAGGATCTATGAGTTGCCTGTTTCAGTTCTTTTATAGTTTTTACAATTTCCAGATTATCTCACAATTTTCATTTTTATTTAAGCAAATACAGTGAGATCTTTTGCTGTCACAACAGATATGGAAAAAATTAGTAAGCAGGGAATGAATTTATTACTCACTTTGAGAAACAAATTTTGACATAAAACACAGCGTATTCTAATGGCTGAGTTAATGACCAATTTTGATACTACACTTTGCTCCTTCATAGTCTTGTATCATGCTCAAAAGCAGTGTTAAATTATTGTAACTATAACCCATTGGAACCTTCTTTTAATAGATTACCCGATATTCAGAGCTTCTAAATTACTTTTCTTGTATAGCTTGCATAGCTGTACAAGAATRTAGCTATGTAGCTTTTGTTGTATAGCTTGAGGATCCTCAAATATAGTACTGAGCATTAGGTGAGAAAAGAAACACTAAATTTTGAATTTAACAGAAACAAGCCAGTTGCCTTGACTAATTATTTTCTTTTTTATTTCCGGAGGGAAAAAAAAAAAAGCAATATTCTTTAGAACACAGAGTGTTTCCTTCCCTGAACACAGCCTCAGTCTGTCTTTCATTTCTTCAGTCATCCCCTTTCTCTTCTCTCAGGATATTTCAGATGTGTTCTATTTATTTTATAAATTGTAATTGATGTTATAAATGGYATTATATCTTTATTTTTTGACTTTTTCCAATCCCTTCCAACTGCAGTTCYGTAGACCACAACCATTCCATTTTCCACCTTGCTGGAAATCTCACTTGAACACCACTTTTCACACTCAAGAGGCCCTGCAAAGCCACCAAAAGAAAGAGGAGCTGCCAGCTCTGAAGCCAACAAGTAACCAAACAAGCAACCTAATTTCCCATAGGAGAACCAAGAGCAAAAGTGGCTGCAGAAGCAGCACAGCCACCTGTTTGCTAGCGACAGTYCTCTCCAGGCAGGCCGCAGTCACTGCCAGCCCTGGGCAGCTGATTGTCCCCTGATGTCATTCACAGTGTCGTGTTTTCCCTGGTGGTGCCTGAGCTTTCCCTGAYGCTGCGGAGCTTCCTCTTCTTCCCCTCTTTCTAGGAATGCAGTGGAGCAAGTACAGAAGATGCTTGGGTGTCCACGCAGTTTAGATGTAGGTGTTATCTGTGCTTGCTTCTGCTGTCACATACACCTGGGAGCTCTAAGCCTTGTGGTGCTGAGTGCTGGGCTTCTTGGCTCCTAGAACTGCCTTTGTGAAGTCTGTCAGGATCTATGAAAATACATCTTTAAGATGTATAGCTTGGTCTGTAAGTGTGTCTGGAACTCACACTTTAGTTAGACATTATAAAATATTCTGATGAAAGTAGCTTTGATGGAATTGCTTTATTCCATGAGGAGTTTCCTTTACTGAAAGAAAGTATAGCCCCAACTTTTAGCATGTGTCCATTGCCAGCTTTTTGTGTGCACTAAAGCGGGTCAGTGAAGGCAGGTAGAAATGAGACATGCCTGGCCTTGCTCCCCTTTTGCCTCTGCCTGCTTTCCCTGTTTTTCTAGTATATGGAAGATWAACATGGACTCAAAACTTCAACAAAAATAATGCTCGCTATAATATAAAAAGAAATAGTATTTAAAGGAAAAATATATTCTGTAACAGTAGACAGTAACGAGGAAAAGCTAGATTGGTGTGCACTACTGGAAAGCTGAAATGGGTTTAGGGAAATCTCTGTTTTGTATTAGCCTTTACCAATTGAACCAGAAGGGCATACGAGAAGGATATTCTAGTATCTATACCTAACAAGCTATTTTGGGGCCTCTTAAGGAGGCCATGAATCGCAAGCAGGAAATGGCTAAGGTAGGCTCAGGGCAGAGATAGTCATTCCAGTTGTAGCTTTACTATTTTTGTCCTTTTGGAATTGCATTCCATATCCAGGAGTTGCGAGCTTTTCCTCAAATATAACCSAAACATGAAAAAAGAAGCTTTTATTCGGCATCACTCGCATTGTTGAACTTTTTATCCATTCAGCTCCTTTTATATTCCTTTAGCTCTGTATTCTGTATAATGCAGAATTCTGTCATGAAGGTACAAAAATATATTCCATAAATTGGCTGAGAGACTGGGTTCTTAAGAATGAGATAGGCTCCAAGGCCTGGGAGACAGCAGGATTAACTCAACCTCTGTTTCCTAATAGATTTCCTGAGAGGGTTCTCCGATTCCTTCAGGAATCTGTTCAAGAACAGATATGTTCACCATATTCATACACAAATTGGTCAAGGAGTAAGCAGTGAGGCAGCAGAGTTTGCTGATGATACTAAGTCATTCAAACTTCTGAGGAGAACGGCCAGTTATTGAGACCCACAGAAGGACTTTACAAAAATGGGTCACTGAGTAATGGAGGGTGAAWGAAATTTAACAGCTGAAATAGGATAAGTGCATATGGAAGAAAAACAATCTGATCATCGTCTATGCCACGATGGGGTTCTGAGCTGAACCTCATTATCAAGGACAAGATCCTAATATTATGATAGATGGTTTTGTGGAAATATCAGTCTAGTGCTTAGTAGCGATCAGAAAAGGAAAGCCAATATTATAAATAATTAAGAAAAATCCATGGTTTAACTACAKCTTAACTGCTGTGTGCAAGTCTGGTCACTTCAGCTCTAAAAGGATATAATAGACTGAAAAAAAATCAGAGAAGAACTACAAGAATGATTGAAGTCAGGAACAGCCTTTATATTTAGTGTGACTGAGTAGGCTAAAAGTTGCCAGTCTGAGAAGGAGACGTCATCGTGGTCGTGGTGGGGAATACTGATGTTGACAAAGTTATAAGTTACACAGTGAATAAGTATCAATTCCTCAGAAAATTTTCAAAATTGTTAAATCCACAATAATTGGTATGTCAGGCAACTTTCAGTAGATCTGTGGAGCTCATTGCCTAAAGATATTTTTTGGTCGATAACAGTCAACACAACCTCGAGGAAAGACTGAAAAAGCACTTGAGGAGAACTCTGTTGAAGGTTACTAAGTTACAGAACCACATCTGACTTTAAGAAATCCTTTGAGCTGAAGATGGGTGGCAGATGGGAAACTACTTGGAATAATATTCCTTACCTACTGACAGCCTCTCAGGGAAGCGGGATACTGAACTAGGGGCCCTTTGATGTGACCAATTCAAGTCATGCTTGTGTTCTTATGGAATGAAAAATAATGAACTCCCCAAACTTGCTGAGTCTGACTTGCTCTGCTAGCAAAATGTCAGTTTGTATTGTTTGTTACTCCAGATTTTTTCAGAAACTAATCTTTTTTAAGCTTTTGATGTCACAGTGTTGCCCATTAAAAGTGGCTCTTTGCCACACATGGTTTGAGAATTGAAAAAGTACGAATAATGCTTTTAAAATAATTTCAGGAATGTGAACAGCAAAAATCAAAAGAAGAAGAAATTCTACAATCATTTCATAAATGGAAAGAGGAGGAAAAAGAGAAATTAGCAGATGAAATAGAAAAAGTGAAAGAAATGTTTATGAAAGAGCTTAAAGAGTTATCTTCAAGAAATTCAACATTAGAAGATGTAAGTGATTTATTTTTTCACAATTTAAGGCATGAATATCTTATAGTAGAAAGTAGAAAGCTTGATATGTTTGAAACATGATGTAGCTGTCTGAAAGACCTGGGGAAATTTTTATAAATATGATATAATTGCATTTTTTTGGTTGAAGGATTTAAGGTATCAGAAAGCCTATTAGTAGTTTCTTATTCCTGAATCCTCCTAATGTGAGGAGGTTACTAATAATGCTGATCTCTATGTGTAAGATGCAAGACTTTGTGGTTACCTTTAAGTAAATTTCATATTAAATAAGTTTAATTTTAAAAAATCTGTTTACGTATTCTGGCCTTAAATTGTTTTTCCATTCCTTTTAGCAACTGTTACTACTACAGAAGTCAAATATGCAACTTAAATCCAACTTAGGGACATTAAAAGACAGCCAGGAATTTATAGAAGAGAAACCCCAGAATCCTCAGGATTACCACAGTGTGGTTAAACTTCTTGAAAAACAGGTAACACAGTAATTTAAAGTATTACCTCTGAGAGACTGCGGTTTTTCCTTGATTTTTACATATATAAATAGGATTTCGAATTCATTAGTAACATTCTTACCCTTTTATCTAAAATAGCTCAATTTTTAAATTTACTATTATTTGTTACAGTCTAAAAACTGAAGGACTCAATTCTTTATTTATTGCTTCTTCATTTTTTGCTTTAGAAGTGATTGACCTTTATTCCTTAATATTCCCTTTTTCTTTTTAATTAGAAGTATCTAGCCATACCCAATACACTGTGGTTGCAGTTGCATGTCCCAAACCTGATCTGTGCGGCTGCTGCCACCCAGGAGCCCCTCGCTGACTCTTGGAGCTGTGCATTATATGGCTCGTGGTTCTTGTAACAGGCCGCTTTAAACAGCAAGTTCAGTCATTTATACTCAAAGTTGTGAAAAAATAGGCAAATTTTGCTTTATGCTCTTATAATTCCGATGTTTACATTGTTTTTTATCGTTGCAATATACAAAATACATTGCTGATGAGTGTTTGAAATAACATTACTTGGTTGAAAGCAAAACCCGACTCTTAGTCTCCTTATTGTTAGTAAACAAAAATGTATCAAAATACGGGTGCATTTCTCAATTTCAGTCAGTGCACACACAAATCAAGGCCTTTTATTGGCAGATGCAGTGTTTGCAGTCTGTTTGGGAGCAGCACTATGCTTGCATGTAAGAAACGTAGTGATAACTGTTCTAGGTCTGAAATGTGGGGTTACTCAGGCTTCATGTCGTCAATACCCTTTTCAGTACATGTGCTTTATTTATAAACATAAAACTGTTGAATAAATGCTAACGTATAATTAGYAAGAATTAGCACTGGTTTCCTTTATACAGGAAGGTAAATGGACATCTAGAATACAAGCCCTTCATCAGGAACACGAGGCAGAAAAGAATCTGGTAAGTTGCACAGCAAAGCACCATTCCCTGAACACTATTTTATRCAGTGTTTTCTGTTATGTGGGTAGGCCAAATATTTAAGATACAAGTTAACAATACGCAGCTTTCATCTCCTCTATACCTTTAGTTACTGTGGGCCTATGGCTTGTGTTTTGATCTTTTCTTCTCCTTTCTTTCACTTATCTGTTTCATTTTTTTTTCCACGTCTGTCTGACTCGAAATCTCTTGAGCTTTTTCATGAAAAGGCACCATAGCATTTTATTGTTCATCTGTTTATATATTTTACTATACAAACTTTTCTTCTTCTTTTTTTTTTATGTTTGCATTTCTTTTTAATGTCTTTCCTGCTTTGTTTCTGTTGCCTTCATTCCTTTCATTTTCCTTCATCTGCGTGACCGTGTAAGAACTGAGCAGGTCATAGTGGTCTGGCCAAAACTTCTCTGGCAAGAGAGCAGTGAGGAAGAACCATGAAACAGTCCCCCAAAAGATGTAGTTAATGATACACCCACATACAGTGCAAGAATAGAATAAGGGAGGAGTAAGGTAAGTATTGATTTTGAAATGGTACGCTTAAAATGTTGTTCCTCTTTTGTATTTATAGCTAATATATTAGGTTTATCAAGCAAATTCACTCTTGCTTCCTTGAGATGCCATCGTCTGACATTGTTCATAACTAAACCACTTTATATTGCCATATGCTTTTTCCTGAATCTTATTCTTAGGTAACTGCATCCGTGTGTCTGCATGTCCTTTCCTTGGTGCCAAGATTTAGGTAGTTCTCCTTGTGTAAATAAAAGATGATTCAGGCAGCTGTTTTGTCATATATGCAAGTCCCAGTGTAATCACATGGAGCATTGCATCCCTTGTGGAAAAAAAGCCTTAAGAGAAATATTTAAACATGACTCTTTGTCTGTTTAAACCCAGTAGTATTGAAATAATTGATTAATGCTGAGTTACTTTTCTGCTCTTTGTTCTCTAGCTCTTGTCACAGATTGAGAAGCTTAAATCATCTGTGAGAGAAGACCTGAATAAAAGCAACACTTTTTACAAGAGGAGGATAGAAGAGTTGGGGCAGAGGCTTCAGGAACAGAATGATCTAATTATTACTCAGAAGAAACAGGTCTGTTTTGTGAAGCATTCTAGGGCTCAGGGAGCATCTGATTCTATGGGACACATAGAAACATTTTCCTAACCTTGGGTCACGTGGGGATGTGTCTCCAGTTGCATGGGGAATATTCTCAATTGTAAGAATGCTACAGGAATATTTTGGTTACATTTCTGAAATGATAGAAATTTGAAAGGATCTGGAAAGAGACACAGGAGTTAAAGCATGGTTTAGAGTGAAAGATTGAACAAACAGAATGTTTTTAGCAAGTTTAACACAAGTTAAGAGATTACTATGTCTCCAGAATACTTTCGTCTTCAGAGAGGCAAAGATGAAAAATTTCTGCTGCTATACAGGATTTGATTTGTCATAAAATGATTATAGTGAGATCTAGCATTTGAAGTCTGAAACTACATGAATTTCTATACATTAGAAATAAAGTATATTTTTAATAACTGTGAGACTAATTAATGAAATGATTTCTTTGAAGATGTTTTGATTTTTCTTAAAAAATATACTTTTATTCAAACAATGATTTTTTTTTGTGGTGGTAACTGGGTGAAGATCTATTTCATTTGTTAGTCTGGAGTTTAGACTGTGCCACCGTTAAGCTGTCCTAACAGTTTGTTCCTGTATTAGATTATATGTCCTTTACAGAACACACAGAACATTTACATATTTTTATGATATTTTTAAGTCTTTTATGATAAGCATGTATGTAATATTTATAGATTTGGAAAGACCACAGTTTTTCAGGTGTCTCCATGTGAACAAATTTGATTGCTGTTCAGTGAAGGTGCRATAGAGGAGGACTTAGTCCTAAGCAAATTACTTGAAGTGACCCTTTCAGAAAAAAAAAAGCACTATTACCTCAGATGTAAAATAAATTCAAGGGAATCCGCGTTTGCTTTTTATGAAGTGCAATTATTTCACAGGGAAGATCTATATTCTTAGTATTCTAAAACTGGAAGAGCTTGAGAAATAGCTACCACTTCTGTAGGATCCATACTCGACAGGCCAGGGACTGAGGCTCTGCTGCATGTGTCTGAAGTGCTGAACAAGGAGGCCAGGGTCTAGGATCTTGCAGCAGCAGTAGGTGGTAGAGAGGCTGTAGAGAGACAGGAGAACTGCACATACAGCTGAAGTCCACTGTGTGCTTTAATGTTTTCCCAAAGTGGAGCTAATTTGCAAAACTGGACATGAACTGCTGAGGCAGAAGGTATTGGAGCTGTAAGTGTGAAAACAGCCTGTAAGGCTACTCTCATTTCACCTTAAAGTTTGTGTTATCCATGGTGTACACAGCATGAAGTCACCCAAGGCAGCAAGCAGAGTAAGTCCTAAGCATTCATTAAGCAGCAATGTGATGAATAAAGGGAGAGAATAATAGTGTATCCCCAAACCATTAGCATGAGTTTCTGCCATGCAGCACTACTGAAAGGAGGTGTTTTACATGAGCTCTGCATTTCTAGGTATTGATAGTTTCTAACTATTCATGTTCTTGTCTCTTTTTCATTTAGATAAAAGAACTGTCTGCCAGGTCAGTTGCAAGTATCAAACCGTATGATGGTAAGTAAGGAAAAGCAGATTTGGTTTCTGATCTGAAGAGTTCAGTGTTTTAGTTTATTAAAGAATAGAGACATACACTTCATTAGTTAAATATTGAAATCAAACCAATACTTGAAATTTATATCTGTTTCTCAGAAAACCCAACTGTAATTCTGTGTTTCTATGCCTTTGTACTGTTTCCCAAAACTCATGTTTTGTAGCTGGATGGTCTTTTGATGTACAAAGTTGGCATACTGAGTGGTGAAGAGATACAAAATATGATACCTGTATTTTGTGTGATATAAGCAGCTTTTGGTTCTGCTTTGTAACATATAAATTGATGACTCTCTCCTCTTGCTATAGTATTCATAAAAGGGCAAATACTGAAAGCAAATACAGACAAAATTGATTAATATATCAGTTAAGATATAGATTTTTGAGCAATTTAAGTATAGCAATGATGATCTATCTCTGCCATGACTTTCACCCTTTCAAAATTTCCCCCAGTCCATTCATTTCCGACATTTTACTGAGTCCATTACAAAGAGCTAAACCTCATAATACTTATGTTTCAGGATGCAGCCTTGGACAGTAGGTTTGATGTTGCASTTGCTGTGCCTGGTGATAATTCAGTCCAAGATTGCACTCTGTACATTATATAKATAGGACATGTACAGACTGACTGGAAATGAGGGTGCAGCAGATCCCTTTGGGGGGCACTAGCCTTGATCAGGCTAGACACAGGCTAAACTGCATTAGGGGGTTTTGCATGAGGGCTTCTTCTGTGGGACACAGAGCACCTGCATAGCCAAAGAGATGAGCTCACTAGTGCGGGTTTGCATTCCAGTTTAGTTACTGAGTTCTCTTCCAGCTTCTGCAAACATTAGAAATATCATACATATCTAGAGATGGCACAGCTGTAGCGTGAAACACTGTTCTTTACTTTGCAAACTATTGCTTCTTTTTGTCCCTGTTGAAATAACAACATGACATACTTCATGAATATGATTAAATGTTGCTATAGTTATGAATCTGCATATATCAGTGACTTCTTTAGAACATTCGCTGTAATACATTTAAAATCTTCCCTATTTTCTTCTTTTTTTAGCGAACAGTAATGTACAGCCTCTTGTGGAATGTAAATCGAGTCTACCCGTGATGCACGGTAAGTTTTGTGGTAGGTGCAGATTCAGTACCTGCMGGACTGCCAGCCTGTCTTCTGAAATGTGCTACTTGCTGAATCAAAGCTGTAAGAATGGTTTCACTGAAAGAACAAAATGCTAATGGTTCTGCTGCATATCTGCACTGAGAATTCCTAGGAAATAATTTTAAAAAGAACACTGTGGAAAAGTGTGACACTGTTTGGATATGGAAAAAAAAATAGAAAATATTTTCTGAGTATTTCTTAGGAGATGGAAAATATTAGGGCACTTTATATGCAGAGAAACTAAATGGGGAAATAAAACAATTTCTTTTAGAAAAAAGGCTTATTTTGTGGTATATACTGGAGTATGCACAGAGAAAAGTGTGAAGATATTTCTCTATAGTGAGACTTGAAACTATATTTTCCACATGATGTCTAATATCAAGGAGGAAAAATACAGCAGAAGTAAAATAGTMATCCTATATAGACAGTTCTTCTAAAGTAGAATGATGCACACTTACAGATCACTATTTAGTCTTACTACTATATTATATATACTATATAGTACATATACTATATACTATAGTATATATATATACACGCTATATATACTATAATATATACTATACACTATATAATGTAGTATACATATATATTTATATACCCACTATATATTTATACTAACATATGTGTTTGTATATATATACACACTACTATATAATATACTACTATATTATATGTATATATTAAAAAATATACTACTATATTATATAGTAGTAAAGAGAAAAGAGGAACCTGCCTTGACATTTTTCTGTGTTTTGCAAAAGTAGCTTTTATTTTTTGACAGTATGCAAAATACTAGAGAGCTTTGTTTGAAGACCAATATTCTGTGTACAATTAATTCTTTAATTTTAAATCAGGAAAAAATATAAAGTTGAACTTTGAACAAATAAAATCCTTAAATATTACAGGTAATATTTTATTCAATATTCAGTTTATTAAATTGTGATTTATAATTATTTCTCTTAGTTTAAAACTTGACAAGGAAAGAGGGATATAATTTGCCTAAGACAAATGAACAGAATTTTTCWTTTCCAACAAATTCAGATTTTTTTAAATTCACATGTTAGGGGAAGAAGGATCCTTAGATAATTTCATCAGGGCCTTAGATAATTTGATCAGGAATCAAAAACTTATCAAAGTGAATTGTTGATTTCAATATATTTGGTATGATAGTGTTAAACTAAAGAAAAATATTTTTATTTGTTATGTTGTAAAATTATTTGAACACTACAGCGTTTTCTTAGTAGTCTATGTGACAGAGTTATTCATTGATAGAAGTATTTTAAGGGAAACAGAACATAGATGGAAGTTTTCTGTTTAATGAAAGGTAATAATGTATTACTAATGCTATTGATAATAGCACATAAAATAGTCCTCTTATTTTGCATCCACACAGCTTTCGTTGCACCAAGAAAGCAATGGTTCTTGTTAAGATACCTCACAGCAAGTAGCTTAGCTATGGCCATGAATTTAAAAATCTAGTTTTATGAATARATTTGCTCCTGAGGGACCTACATGCTTAATTTATCAAGAACTACGTTCTATATTTGTCAAGAACTACATTTTCAGTCCATGTCCTTTCATTTGTATTGAGTGGGAAAACAGCTTTGTGAACATTAGTATTTTTGTTCTATGACACTTTAAGTTARCACATTGTTTTTTGTTTCTCGCTACTGTGGCAACTTGAGAAACTTCTTAGATAACATTCACAATCTGAGATAAGATTCACTGTCAATTTATTATGAAACYAGGAAAGGCAACTTCTTCCGATTCCTTCGCTGATGATTATTTTATTTATCTCTGCAGGTCTCTCTGTCCCCTTTCTTCCCTTTCTGATGGATTTTTTTTTTAATTATCCTACCTAATTTCTGGATATAAAGGTTAGCAGAAATGCTAGTGTATTTCCCCAGATCTTAGGGTTCCTCAAAGCCTGAGTTACATGCTGAAGTAAGATATCATCGTTGCATCTGATGCCATTACCAAAATGAAAGTGCCTGCTGGTGACTTCCAAATAGAAATTTATTTAGTGTGGTACATCTCTGACATCAGAATGTCTGTAGTTTCATCAGAATATCTGTAGTTTTCCTACAAAATGTTAYGTTTTTTTTAGGATAACTAGTAAGGTCTCTGGAATGCCATCCTAGCATGACTGTTCTCTGAGTTTCTAAACTAGCTGTTAGGTCTTATTTTCAAAGATGACTTCAGTCTTATGAAAAGGCTACAGGTGAATTATGCTTTTTTTTTTTTTTTTTTTTAATGGTCTTAGGCTCTTGTATCATCCCATCCTTGAAACATTGACACTACTCAATGTTTAATCTTTCTTAGATGGAATTGAAGATAGTAGATAACAGGCAAAAATATTAGTGCAATTGTGCATTGAAATGTAAAACTTGGTCTTAAAACCTGCCCTGAACTAAAACTGAGCCATCATTAGGGACTTAACTGAAGCATTTGAGGAGAATCCAGTCATAACCGTCTTCCAGGACAGGTAATGGAGGAAAGGGGCTCTTCAGATTTTGGTTCAGCTGAACTAAGATCTGTATTACTCCTTTTAGTTACCGGTGTCTTTTCATTGACTGTAGAAGGAATCTGAGATGACTAGGCTCATAACTTAGATGCCCCGAGTGAGTGTCTAAAATTGGTCATATTTAAGGATATTGGTTTAAAGTTTGTGTTATTATAGATATATATTCAGGCTACTTATGTGCAGCATGTGACTTTCTGTTGATTAATTAGAAGGAAGGTTTAGGGAGCCCATTGATTCAGAATTGACTGTTAAAACAGTGGGTACCACAGATGAAGTCTGGCAGCCCTTTGGGTGTGAAACCAAGACTATGAAAGGAGTAGGTTGTATTCATAGGTGTAACTATGCCTTACATTTCTTACATCCTCCTCATGTCAGAGTGCCACTAGATAAGAAGAGGCRAGTAATACATGATATGCTTGAAATACACATGGCCTAGATTTAGTAAATATATTTTCCAGTTTCACCTGCAAGCAATTTGTCTTCAGAAACTATTGTAAACAAGTATTTGGAGATGTAGCAATGTATCCTGAGACRTCATTATTTTAGCATTATAATTATCCACTGAGGAAATTAAGGCAACCTGTACTTTTGATGATAGGCATTAGTTAGCAGAAAAGATATTCTGAAGATTGTGGAGGAATAGCTCCGTCACTGTGAAGGCTGGGCTTATCTAGGGCTGGTATCGAAGTGGCTGGGTTCAGGGCAGCACCAGCCAGTGGGATATGTTTGAGTTCAGAGGGATCAATTAGGCAAGGCAGCAGCAGCGGGGCCTGCCTGAATAAGCTTGAAGTTGCCATTTCTCGTGATTTTATAACCAAGGAAGGGCTGGAGGTTACAGTCAGGGGACGAAGTAACGGGTTTCCCCTGAGCTCCAGGACAGGCGCCAGCCCTGGTTCTGCTGGACCTCTGGTGRTGCAGAGGAGGGGACTGTGCAGCCCGTCCTGTCGCCTTCCTTGCCTCTCACTGCCTTGAGAAGTGTCTTGGAGCAAGCGATTCAGATGTAGGTGTGAATCCAGAGGGAAGGTAGTTGCCTGCCTAGATTTGACATTCAGGCTGGGACTAAAGCAGTGAAATAGATTCTGGGCCGCAAGGCCTGGTGTTGAAGGTGTTGCTATAGAGCAGAGCCCACAAGGACCAGCCAGACCAGGTGTAGAGCAGGTAACGGACAGAAAGCAAATGTTGATAGATTTAAATGATTCCTAGGAAGTAGATAGTTAATATTAGAATGTTTTCCACATGTACTGCTGATTTCAAGGATGGCTGAGTGCTCTAAGTCGAGAGCTAAGAGGTCTGATGAGGTAGCTGGAAGGAGCTCTTCCCTGACAAACGTAGAGGAGATTACTTAACAGTGGGGATGTGAACCAAGCTGTTTTCACTCAAACTGACAATTAATAAATTTCTCTTAATATATATGCACAGTAGGAATAAAGAAAAGACCTGCTTGGATTGRAGTAACTGCCATTTCTAGATATTCCACTCCCCCATGTCTCAAGATTTGATGACATCCGTCATCAGGCAGTGAACAATGGTATTATTCACAGCAGTGAATAATATTCTTATATAGCAATCTTTTATTGATTTTAAATTCCTTTGCTTCTGGTATATTGAGGAAGAGAAACACCRTTCTGACATCAGCAGACTATTTTCGGGTCTGAATTCTGAGGACTGGGCTTTCCCTGTTACCATTAAGTTATCCAACAAGGCCTCGTGCTGAGATGAGTCAGCTGCTTTAAGCAGATTGCATTTGAGCAAAGTAAAGGTCAAATGTTTATAGTTTAAATCCAATTACATGGCAACTGGCTAACATGGTAGCAGTTCCAGCCAACAAACTCGGAGGCTATACTTGTGTAAGTAAATGAAAATTCAGGTAAATGGAATCTCCCCAGGAACATCCCTCACTTGCACTGGAAGCTCCAGTCTTCAAGCAGGCTGGCTCCACTCTTCTAGGAGCRTTCCCAAGCTGTGCCTGCCTGCTCCTTGGGCAGATGTTGGTTGTCCCAGAGCAGTAACGTGTCCAGAGCAGCTTCGCGAGTTCAGCTGTGTGGAGGATCTCATCCCAACGCCCGGGAGTGYCCTGGCCACTGATTAATTTATAGTCTTATAGACTAAAAGATTAGAAGCCCATATGTCAGTCAGTCTCTCAGTGTTTTGTTTTTAGGATCTCATAAGATATACTGATTCTTACCTTTTGTTAGCATCTTTTGGTGATACAATAGCTTTTATTTCCCAAAAACTTTTATTTAGTGCAAAGGATATAGCAGAAAATCTTAAATCTTGTAAGCTGCCTGAGAAAGCAAGGTTATATCCAGCAGAGGCTGGATATAACTGCAAGAATGGAAGGCATGGAGAGAACAGTGACTTTAGGGAAACATTTACAACAGACGTTTTAGCCCCTTCTCAGGGGAACATTAGAGGTGTGACAAGAACAGTTACTTAACCCTGAGTGCTCATTTCACTCTGACCCACCACAGTGCCATATCGTACCATATATTGGTACCATATCATACCATATATTGGTACCATATCGTACAAAAACCACTGAAGAGCAGGGGAGTTTACTGGAATACCCCCTTCTTCCACCAACAGAGTGTAACAGCCATTTGTAGGGTTGTAGGGCCAAAGGATTTTTGTGAAGGCTGGGTGTGCAAGTGTGCAAGTCTACCTGATACAAGAGAAATTTTCTGTGCTGTAAATTTTAAGTACTGGGCAATAAATTGTTTTGTTTTTTTTTTTTTATTATACTGCCAGTAGTTGAGTGCTGAAAATATAGCTTGCACTTTCTTCTGCTTTTGTCATAAAGCAGAAGAAATTCAGGTTCTAGTTTTCACTGAAATAAATTCACTAATGCAAAATGAGTATGAACATTTAAAAACTTTGTTTTTACATCTACATCTACATGAAAGTGTTTTCATTCATTCCTCTTACATCTCTCTTTTTTTTCAAGTCTGTGAAATGGTAAAGAACTTGTACTCTGGCTTCATTTGTATAAAAGCAATTGTGCCTGATGGCCTGGAGAATAAAAGTTCCAGTGTGCTTAGAAAGCTGTTTGCAGCAGGGAACGTTTCAAGATCTTCTTAAGCATGTGGCACTACTGAAGCTTGCTATAGTCAAATCACTGAAGATCCTTTAAAATGTCCTTATCAGGAAGAAAAAAACTACTCTTAAGTTCCCTAATATGTTCATATGGTTTCTCTCTCTCTAGCTCATATGGACTTTCCACTTAATTTTCTAGTTTGATGATTTAACTCACATTATTTTTCTTACATTTCTGTAGAATTCTCTATCCATCCATTCCATTTGTCTTTGTCAATTTGTAAGATCAGTATAGACATAAACAGTATTTTAAAAACACATTTTAAAGTTCAGATGCTTTCTGGAGAAATGAATGGCAGTATTCATTTACTTAATCTGAGGTGACCTTATCGTTCTAGGTATATAAAATACCCTGCTTGGCCTCTGGGTGCCCTTCGGGAAGGACACAAGTTTTCTATAGGTTCTGTATCTTATCAGCCAGCCTTGTGCAGATGATTATGACACTCTGACATATCTCAGAATATACAAGACACCTGTGTTTCGGTGTCTGAATCATTCCCAAAGTGATATTAGGGTCTGCCCTATGAGAATTTTCCACCAAGGTGGTACTTATGGCTTTGAAGTCATGTGCATTGCCTTCGTGATTGCCAAGCAGGTTGTCAGCAACCAGGAAAATTGACATCAGTGTGTTATTTTGCTCAACTTTCCCGCTCTGGACCTTGACCTTCTTCTGTCCTGTTTGTCTGGTGTTCCTGTTCTTCCTCGTTATTAGAGCAGGCACCCTTGGTACATATGCTGGAACCCATAGAGGAGCTTTCAGAAGAGGAAAAAGGTAATGGTTGATTCAGATCCAAAGGTAGTGGCATGTTTTTTTCTCGAAAATAGAAGTGTAAATGTTATTTGATGCCTACCTTATTTTTTTCTGTGTTTGAGTTTGCTTATCTGATTTGGGTGGGTACAGATCTTGTGTGTGTTAATTTCCGGTTTGTTATTGGTGCTTGTAAATGTTATAATTTCCTGATCTAAGCTGAATGTTTTTATGGAAATTGAGAGGAAAAAAATACAAGAAATAGTCATATTATGAATGCTTAAAGGCACTTCAGATAAGCAGAAGAGAAATAACTGCTGGAGAGTAGCCCCTCAGTAGGAAATGCTGTGGTGCAATCCGGTGGGCTTGGTGCTCTTGCCATGTGCGCTCACTTCTTCCTCAAACTCTGTGGAAGAGGATCGAGAGCTAAGGTAGGGGAGGGAAGCCTGTGGTAACGCAGAGCTTGGTGCTGTCCCGCGGTCTGCTTCAGTAGATGCATCAAAGGTCTCTTTGCGAGTAATGGAGGTTCTGTCGCGCAGAGTTTGCGGCCGGCCTCTGCCTCGCCTGAGGAAACCAGACCAGGCCGCGCTCGCAGGGACAGCACGGAAGGTGTGGGCTCATCCTGAACGACAATCTCTTCTTTGAGGCAACTCAGAGCTCTTATTTTACACCAACTACCTGAGTAACACAACGAGCTGTTCGGAGGTCTACGTCGAAATAAAAATCCTTCTCTAACCTTATGGCTGGTGACTAGATATCGCCGGAATGGTGATGCTGCTGTTTTGAAAACAGAAGTGTCTTTCGAATAGGCCTGTGCTTACAGAGAGATTTTCCCAGGGAAAATCCAGTGAGTGCACCATCTGAAATAAGGACTGCTCGCATTTTTGGCGTTCTTTCTGCCATTTCTCTTGCTTGCTATCTCCTCTCTTGATGGATTGTCTTTGATTCTTACGCAGGGCCTAGGGCCATGCCCTGCAGTACAATAGAAAGAAAGAATGCAGTCTGAAAAGATAGACCGAGATGTTTTTGTTTTCAGTGACAGCCATTTGTAAGGGAGAGTGTGAAAATTCTTGATTTGGGAGAATATTTCGTAAGCTTTTGTAGGAGCTGAGGCAGGAGACCAGACTCAAGGTCACCAAAGGTGTCAAATCCAGTTCTGTTCTGGATTTAAACAAGAAATGAACCACAAAACAGCTCCTTACAAAGCAGGTCTTTCCTGCAAAGAGGATTTGGCTTAAGTTAATTAGTAGCAATTAATATTATCATTAATTAGGGTAATGCTGAGTAGTGTTGTTACCCATGTACCTATGTAATAATTATGAATTAAGCAGTGATTTTAGATGGATCTATTTTATTGGAAGGATTAACATCCAAAAGGGACAGGATTTTCCGAAAGCTCTTCGGAGCCTTCCATGAAAAACAAGAATTCTCAAGCTCTTGGGGAAGATTCTGTGCTGCCTAATGCACCTCTCTGTGATTGGGAATAGCTTCACAGAGTACAGCCCTGCCACTCCACACGTCCTGGCAGTCTGGCCCTTCTAGCACTCAGCTTTCTAGCCAAGCCGCTCTTGGTGCAGGGTCTGAGTTGTCCACACAGGTCTCAAAATCAGGTAAGACTTCAGACAGGTGCTGCCCTCATGAGCTGCAGATCTCCTGCTGCCACAGTTGGACTCTATTTTTTCAGTTTTAATTTCCTGCAGTTCTTTTCAGGATCCATCAAGAGACACCTCCTCAGAACGATCTAATGTCTTTTATGTATTTCCTCTTTCTTTTTGATCAATAAAAATAAAATTAAATTGAGCTACTTTTTAAGTAATCACTATAAATAGGGGAAAATGCACATTAGCTTTGAAAGAAAATGTTTGAAAGTCACAATATAGAATTGTTCCTTCAGTCATCTCTTTGTCTGTGGGATGGCAGACGACCCTGCTGCCCCACAGGCCATGTTGGAAAGAGATAAGTCCCTGAATTTTGTGTAAAAGGTAGGAGCGTGGTTTATAGTATAAGTTCTGGGATGTTGTGTGCCCATTTACCTATGGTTTGCAATCTTTGCTGACCCCATCAGAACTGCAGAAGCGTTCACTATGGGACCAGAGGTTCTTGGTTCACTTGCTATAAGACATATCCAGTAATATTTCTTTTTTACCAGAGACATTTTCCAGGCAGGTTCCATGTGTCAGTATTTTTCTTCCTTACTCATCTGTATGGYCAATACGCAATACTGAGGCATGACTTAAAGTCAGTTTTTAATTTAGAGGTAGGATMTGTCTAAATGATAATTTCCTATGTAAGAGTATCATTACTGACACTTAAAAAAATGGAAGAGAGAGAAACTCCGTCCTCTGTTTTTAATTATGTATGGTTTCATAGGCCTGCACAGAAGAAAACATGGCCCTGAACTTTGTATTTGGAAGAGTTTTAAAGATAAGTAGTATCAGTCAGGTATATTTGGTGAAATGCCTCAGAGTACAGATTTGTCCTGTAAACATTTTTAAAAGTGAAGGAACTGTATAACTTTTTGAAGACTTAGTGTCAATAAGCGTTTTACCAGAGAATGTTGCGTTGAGGCAATTTCGACAAGTCTGTTGTATTAACTAGAATTTAGCTTTGATTTGAAATAAAACTTAGGAAATTTAGTTATCAAAGGTAGTCTTTCTTTATCAGAAGTTCCAAGTACAGTTCTAAAAGTGCAGATCTGAAAGATGTTTATTGTTAAATACGTAGGCCTATATCTTTACAATGATTCTATAACAAGGAAAAGGAGTGACTTATTACKGTGAGTACTAAGTGTTGAGTTAGAGATTCTAAGTAAGCTGAGTTTTTTAAGCTAGCCCTAGATTTTAAGGAGAATACAACTCCTGTGTAGATGTAATGTACACATATACATCCATGGTGTTTCTAGGAAATGCATGCTTCAGTGCCGTCTAATGTCCTGTAGATTTTTGAGATGTCTTTGAAAGGTACTTTCCCCTCTTATTTCAGAAATTGAGAAAGGTGATCATAAGACAGGTAGAAGTAACCAACATTTAATAAATGCTTTGAAGACCGATCCGTCTTTAACTAAAGAACTGCGAGTTGTTTTAGAGCAAGCCCTGGAGGAGAAGCTGGAATCCTTGGGAATTAAAGCAGTAAGTTTATTTTGCATTATTCAAAAGAGGAGAATCTTTGCCTCACTTTACTACTCTCTCCTACTTCTGCATTGTCCCACTCAAGTGTGAAACTCCAGAGCTAAATTTCCAGCTCCTACAAATCAGTGTAATTTGTTAACCTGAGAGATTTTCCAGCAGTCACAGCAGTGGTGGGTATGATCTCACCAATGAGCCGTGGCATTAACTTTAGCMCTGTATGTCACAAGCTTTCCAATATTTGAATATTTATGGTTACTATAAGAGTGTATATGGTTGTGGAATGCAAATCCCTGCTATGTTAGCCCCTTTGCTTACAATTTTCTTTCTTTAGGGTGTTCGTGGTATCCCAAATGAGCGCTTAAATAGAATTTTACATGCCATTGAGTCTGCTAGAGAACACAAACAGAAGCAAGAGCCTGACATCCAGCGAATTCGGGAGCATCTTGAACGCCAAGTCAGCTTTAGGATTGAAGAGAAATCATCGTCTTGCAATAGATTTGTTTCCTGCCCTCATCTTCCTTCAGAAGGTTAAAAAAATCAATTATTTTTTAGGTTATTTGAATCTCTTTGTATGTCTGTGACCTAAGTATGAGACTTAAAGGATTTGTATAGACTGAGAAGCTGCTTTCATAATTTTTCACATAATATTCTGTGTTGTTCTAGCCGACTAAACTATTTTCTTTAAAGATTTCTTGATGTGTTGTTTAATGGTAGATAACTTCTCTTGTAGACAAACAAAAGTTCAATCAACTGAGAATGTCCTCGTCTGCAATACCACAAAAAACAGTAAAACGGCCTTCAACAGCCGTCCGCCCAGCTGGACCAAGAGCAGCTGTCACTGAGAACACATCTACACCAAAGTAAGAGAGGCTGTTTCTTCTAATATTCCTACCACATGCAACAGTATTATGGGTTTGGTTTTCTTGTCTTTCAAAGTCTTATAGTGGATAAAGCAACTAATTTGAAAATTTCATGCTAATATTGTAAGACTTGAGCAAAGAATTCACCTTGCTTCTTTATAAAATTTCTATGTATGTAGTTGACTGCCAGTCTCAAAATAATTTGTCTTGTTGTTTTAGGTCCAGGAAGCTTTTTGGAGATGGAGTTTCCAGAAGGACATCCAGTATCACGTATGTTTTGTTCTCTCGTGCTTTAAAAGAAAGCAGTTTTGGTAACTGGGTTTTGATGTGCTTGCAACACACACACACACACACACACACACACACACACACACAAGGATTGATAATTGTCTTACTATGATCAGAATTAATACAATATTCTGGATTCCTGTCATGTCAGACATACTGTACTGTAATTTGTAGCACTATTTTTTTTTCTGAATCCCATTCAAAATGCCATTTGAAACTTGTCAAGACAGAAATAGTTTGGATCTGGTTGTTATATCTAATGACGAACTCAGTGGTTTYGTTAACTTCGGAAACCACATTGAGAAAGTCCTAAATTATTTAATCTAATAAAATAACAGAGGTTTTGTAGTGGGAGGTCTTTGGTCCTGAACTTTGCTCTCCCTGCTGAGCCATGAAAGATGTCTTTGTTTGTCTGGCAAGACTTGCTGTGTATCTGGGGTGTTGGTTTTGTAAAGACAGTTACCTAGAGAGAGATAATCATGCCTGTATAAGAGATTGTTTTGTGATAACTGTTTCAGTTTACTTAGTAATATGACTTCTTCTGAACAGTTTTATATATACTGAGAATTTATGGAAGTTGATGGTTATTTTTTTCAAGTAAGAAAAATATGCATGTTACTTGAAAGAAAAATWCAATGAAACTTAACTATGCTTATATCAATGCAGTCACAGAAACCTGGTAAGTTCTTGGGTCTTATGTGTTTTTGCTTAGAACTCCACCATTCAGTTCAGAGGAAGACGTGGATGATGATGACATTAAGCAGGCWTACATATCACCAGAATTACTGCAGAAACAGTCAAAAACATCAAGCAATAATGTCAGTGCTTTTCGGGCTCCTGGCAAAAGTGATATGGATGGGACTGAAGAAAGCGAAATGGAGGAAGCTGAAACACCTGCCAAAACTTCAAAAGGTTTTTTTTTTTTTCACTGTTTTCATAGAAGAAAATAATGTCACTAGAGCTATGCATGATTTTGATACTAGGCTGATGCTATTTCCGTGTCGGAAGACCTATTTAAGCCAGACTGTCAGGTTTTGAGTGTGAGTGCCTTACACTCAAAAGTGTTCATGTAAAGTATGTGTGCACTTACTTTATTCTTTCACTAACATATTTTATAATCCTCAGAGAGGTCAGTTGTGGTTAGAGCAGTATCATGTTGTTTTATATAAATGCAGTAAAATACATGATCTCTGCTTCAGAGAGGCAGTTCAGCCTAGAACATTTTTGCTCAGTGTTTTAAATGTGTTTATTTTGTGAAAGACACTTTGAAGGTTTACAAAAAAGCCCCAAGTACGATTCCATCAGTGCAAGTGGGGGAGGGATAAGCCCTGCAGTGGAGGGGAAAGAGGGACAGAGAAGCTGCCTAAGCTGATTTGGCTGCTTTTAAAAATGCATCATCAGTTCCCATCTCAAGACATTTGTGTTTCAAGCTTACAGATTCAAAATGAATTTCAGAAGTGATGGGTAGGCACCTAAATATCTACTCTTGACTTGCAGAATCTATGTAATGAAAGAGTTTAGCTTTGTAAAGTTCAGTTCACCTGCTAAATTTGCAGGCTGATAGAAGAAAAATATATGTAAACTAATGAATTTGTATCCAAATGATTAAAAGAAATACACATAGAATTTAACATCATTTTAATTACAAATAGGAGTGAAATAAATGATTTTAAAGCATMTTATTTTAGTAGTATGGGGGAAGTCATAAATATAGTTTTTTAATTGTTTCTCTCAATGCAGGTGATTGCTGACACAGAAAGTTATGTTTTACCCTTATTTGTGAATGAAGATTGTCAATATATCTTTTTAATTGACTTTTAGGAACAGTTATTCAAAAAATTACTGAGCAAGTTGGAAAGAGTCTTTCTAACCATGGAAATAAGAATAAACCAGCTGGAGGAGTTAACGTTGCACAGGCATTTATTAAGAAAGAAGAGGTGCAAGAACTAAAGGTATCGCTTATACCAGTTATTATTAGTTCATTAAGTAGTAGAATAAGATCTATTTCTTTCACCTTTCATTTCATGCTGAGAGCCTTTGGAAGCAGTGGAGAACTGTCTTCTCAAAGCAGGTTTTGGAGTGTTTGAAGGTACATCTGCACTGCTTATAAAAAGGTGTTAGGAGTGAGCTGTGACATGGGGCCTCTTCATCCACACCAGCTGGGACCTTATAGCGTGGCTGGCCTGGACTGCTGCAGCTTATCAGAAGTTTGGGCACTATCCATGTGCTTTTACCTCCTAGTTTAGCAGCATGGATGCAGCCCTTCTGTACTTGCTTTTCCTAGAATATTATTCCTGATGGACAAAAAACTCACTCTGCTTACCTAGCTYACCTAGAATTTCAGAGTATTTTTCCTTCTAGACCTTTATCTGATATTGAGCTTTTACTGCCTTTTCAAAAGGGGACAAATTCCATTTCTGCGGCGTACRGCCTTTGTTTTGCTCCATCTATCTACAAATCACAGGCTATCCTCAAACTACAGCCAAACTAGCAGTGATGTTTGTGCATTGGGTACAGCACATGTAGTTCATTGACACTGAGAATGCCAACAGAGCGACTTCTCTACCTGTTTTCAGGCTTTCCTAAGGTCTGCACCATCCCCTTACTGTAGAGTTTCATAATTGGCGAGCCACTTTCATGGACATTGATCCTTACCCACAAAGTTTTTTGGACMAAAAGTTACTTCAGATCAGAAATCAACAGCAGATATTTTTCAGTGCTCATTTACTTCAGTTTTAGTGTTTGTTATGAAAGGGATAGCCAAGCAATAGTTCTGCAACCAGTGAAATTCTTTCTTTTTGACTAAACAATTAATAATTACTGAAAAACATGTTATCCATAATAAAACTGATTTCTTAGGATTTCCTGGCAATTGAATCTGAAAYTGAGATGATGAAAGTCTGATATTTTATCTGAAGAATTGCTCCTCACATAAATGGTGACACCTCTSTATCAGTTTCCAGAAAGAGGTGATAATCTTAATCAACTTGGAACTGTAATGGTCGGGTAATCATTCTTAGCCCTGTGCTTTTATTTGGCACCCACCTTGTCCATTGACTGTGTGGGAGCTGCAAATCACACCAGGGACCAAACCATCAAATCAGACCTGACCACAGGGTATATGTGTAATTTGGTGCCCACATGTTACTTTTAAACACTCTGCAAATTCAGATGATACAAATTAACAGGGTAATAARCATATATTTTTTTATGTTAAATGTAGGGGATGTGATATATTATACATTTGGCCACTGTATTAAGGGCTTTGGGCTTCAAGAGCAAAATACAATTAGTATTACAATTAGTAAATTAGTACAATTATTAGTATTACAATTAGTATTSTAAAGATGTGGAAAATATTTATCCTGTAATTAATTCAGAATATAGAGAATCCAAAATAGTGCATTGTGATGTGGACATACGGTTGARAAGAGCTTTGTGAGGGCACAGCAGGTGCTTCCTCTTTGCTTCTGAAGTCCTAGAAGAACAATACTCTATCTTGCATTTTTTTGCTAATTACATGCAAATGTGCATATTAATGCCTATATTTGTATGTTTAAATGTAGACATAAAATTTAATTATTTAAATTTTAGTGGCAATTTTTGAATATGTCCAAAGATAAAGGTACAAAATTCCAAATGGAGCGATGGTTTCTGTAAACACCCACATTTTTTATTAGCTTAACTGATGCTGGTTATTATCAAAACCCACAGTTGAGGTTCCCCAAAATCTTTCTAAGACCTCTTGTTGCCATCTGTTTTATAGAGGTCACATTTCACAGAAATCATTTTAGAAACACTGTAGGGAATGTGGTATTTCAGTGATATTGACTGTGGCCGTATTCCTAGAGTTCACACCTACCACATTCTGTATAGCTTAGGGTGTGGAAGACTTGGAATAAATCTTTGAGTTAATAAAAATGCATGGTAGTTTGGAGTAGTGTTGTGTATTTGCGTTGGGTCCAAACTGTATGAGGAGCTCTGTTCAAAGTGGACTTCCTTTGTTCTGTGTCTCGAACTTTAAGCAGCCTTTGGGACTTTTCCTGTTSGAAGAAACTCTCGCTGCAGCATTTCCGAGTATGTGGCTGTGCCTTTCTCATGACCACTCCCTCCAAATGTATACACTTTAAGGCAGTGAAATGTTGAATCCTGGTATGTTAATAACAYAGCACACGGGGCAGATCTGTCACTTTTTGAAACTCAGTCTGTAACAGTCGTGAATGTTAAAGAATGAATTATGCTGCCGCAGGCTCCCCACTTCTGTCGAGACCCGCTCCACGTTCACCCTTGCAGACTTTCCTCGGGTATTTACCTACCTGGCCTCGTTTTCCAGCAGTATGTGCCTCGTGGTGCAATATGGGGATGGTTTCTGGTACCGCTCAGCAGGTTCAGGGGGATGAGACGTTGGCTGTGCGAGGAGGCAGCGCTGCCTGGCAGCAGTCGGGCCCTGTGCTCGGGGCCCCGTTGAGCGGAGCAGAGCGACAGGGCAGCGCTGCAGCCCCCGTCCTCAGCGCCCCGCGAAGACGCCGGCGTGGGGAGTCTCACTGGAAAAATACTGGGATGGGCTCGCAGTGAGTCCTAGCAGGGGAGCATGCTGAGCTCTGAGCACCAGGGCTCTGTATTTTGGGTTTTAATGGGCCTTTTTAAATAAAGTAATTTGAAATTCCAAAGGCCCTTAACTGCAATGTTAAATGTATGCAGGGTAAACAAGGAAAGCTTATACGGCTAATCAAACTGCCACCTTGCAAGATAACACACAGTATCTTTAATAGAAGTAATATTTATAGTCTAAAGACTTTTTATCACATCAGATAAGCCAGTTTCCCAGAAAAGACAACCCCTGTTTAGTTAGACATGTTATACCATACACACAAAAAAGCGGCTGTTTAATTTTTGCAGTTCCTAACTTTTAAAAAAAATTGTAGCTTTGCAAGTATAGTAGTGAATTAACATAATTCACATATTTGAAATACGTAGAGGTTAGAACTATGGTGCTAGATCTCAGAAGGGCCAAGCTCCACTTCTCTGCACTTTTCTTCAGCAGTTTCACAATGTTGGGTTTCTGTTAGAACCTGGTCTTGAAGACACAAAGAGGAAGATGACTGTTTATTCTCGTAGTTCACAGAAGTTGATGAGGATGACTGGGATATATCATCTGTAGAGGATGACCTCTTGCTGATGAAACCAGACAGAGGCCAGAAGGCGCAGGCTGCTCAAAAGCCCGAGGCCAATGCTGCGTCAGTGGTGCAAGCCTGGGGTCTTCCAAAGAGCAGTGCACCGAAAGAGGAAGGTAAGGAATGTCACCAGGCTTTTAYAGTATAAATCTTGAGCATCATACACGAGTAGAGGAGAACTTGGGTAGTGTATTACACGTTGTAAAATACTGTACAGGAAAGTACAGGAAAARAGCAAAAAGAAAAGTTGCGTGTCTGTACTTTTTTTCTATATATATATATATGTGTGTATGTGTGGGCATAAAAAGTGTATTTACATACATACATATGCATCTTTGTGTGTGTATGTATATAAATATATAAAACCACATGTACTTATGCATGTAAATACACAATACACCAAACACTTAGATTTCATGTTTTGAAACATACACTACTATTAGGTTTCAACCCTCTTAAAAATTATCCAGCCAGGAAATTTTGTTTATGCTTTCCAAAATGAGTGTTAAGGGCAGTATAAAAACAACCTTGGCTTGAGAATAATACTCAGCTCTTAAATTTGTGGAAGATTCAGGTCTGGTGACCTGCAAGGCTGAGGTAGGTATCTGAATCACTGGTAAGSGAAGAACGTCGGTTGTGCACACTAAAGGACTTGGTATTACTAGTCGATATTATTTTCCACTCCTCACATTTCCAGATAATAAAGGTTAAAACTGGGTCTATTATATTTATAGAAAAGATGCTTCAGGTCATTTTTAAAAGGAAAGTAATGTAGACACTGAATGCTTGCATTGTGCATTATACTCTGCGACAGCAACTTCCTTCATACTCTCAGCATTTGTCACTTCCCCACCGGCTGAAGTTTGGGACTTCCTGAAGTCCACAGGTGTTTGCTCCCATAGCACATGAATTTATGGTGTAGATCAATATAAGATTAATTGTAATCAATATAATATAGCCCCAAAATACTACTAATTATTTTACATATTTTCTCTTGTTATTTTACCAGGCCTTCATGAAGCRGATAATACAAGCACACTAAAAAGCAGCTTGGTCACTGTAACAGATTGGAGTGATTCTTCAGATATCTGATTGTTGTATTCCTAACAGGAGGCACGGTTTGGGGGCTCTGAGGGGCTTGGCAACTTAGCTGAAAACACCAAAATTGCTTCATACCCATTTGTCATGTTGTTCATGTCATAAGCAGGAATACTGTGGTTTACAGAGCCCTTTGTCTTTCAGCCCTGGATTGGGAACAAAGAGTGTTGCAATGCACCTTGCCGGCCCTCGCTGCTTGGAAATTCAGAGTTAATTCTTAGGGCAGCTGAAGCTGATGGCAAAAATCTCTCTGATTTCCCTGGGCTGAAGGTTTTGCCTCTAATGTTTGCTTTCAAGACTGAAACTATAAGAAAGCCTGTTAATCAATGAACAGAACTTACTGCAGATGATTATTTTATAAGGGTTTTAAATGAATATTTTCTTGTATTTTATCATAAGCTTTATATCAAATTGTGAACATTTTAAATAAAGTATTTCCATGTATTAAAATGTTACATTTCTAACATAGTTTACAATAAACACTAAATGAAAAAAAAATGGCCTCAGTTATAAAATTCATTGTGTTTGAACATCTTCAATTTTGGAGACTTAATTTTTTTTCTTTCTTTTTTCTTTTCTTATTAGAATAGAGTCTTATGCAAGTTAACATAGGATTACAGAAACTGGAAAGAAATAAGAACATCAAGCTGAGGTAAGAGAAGTAGTGACCTGTCACCGAGCTAGTGCTTTCTTATTTTCATTTTGCCCGCGTGTTAAAAAAAGCACAGTGGTGTTTTAACTTAGATGAAATGCAAAACTAAAACAAAGAGCTTGAATGGATTTATATTTCTGATGTATTTTAGATGGTATCAGAAGYGAGACATTCATCTTCTGTCACACTGTGCCATAAATAAATAGGGCTAACCACTGTTCATATTTGCAGCTTTTTTCCCCAAAGTAGCCAATTTAATGCCACTCTGAGKGGTCATCTCTTCAGACATCAGGATAGAACCTGATTTTGTCCCTAACTATAGGGGCTCAGTCTGGAAAGTGTTTTGCAGTTATTTATAATCTCAGTATTTGGATTTGACTCACGCGAAAGCCTCCATGTTTCCATAGAGAGGCGAAGGAGAAGCACCCGCTGGATTTCTGCCCTGCYGTAACTCACTGAGGACTCCCTGGGGAAGGACTCCCTGCTGCTGGCGCTGCCTCCTTTGCCTGCTGAGCCCTGCGGGAATGTCGCTCGCTCTCAGAGCAGGATGGAGCAGGACAGAGCAGGACGGGTGCTGCTGCCCAGGGCTTTCCCCTCGCCTTGCCGAGCCCAGCCGCTCGCTCCAGGCTGCTTGGTGCTGCTCACACGCTTCCTCCTACTGCCCCAGCCTCTTCCTCCTGCCCTTCCCAGCGCTCCGAGTTGCCACACGGGACGCTCGCTCCCGCTCCTGGCTCCTCCTGCCCCGCGGTCATGGCGCGCTCTGAAAATCAGCCCCTGTGGCTGCATTTTCCCTGGGGCCCCGCGCAGAGCAGGGCAGCCTGGAGGCCGCTCTGCAGCAGCTGCCCGGACATCCCGCATCCGTAACTGCCTCACCTGCTTTATCTAGGAAGCAACGTAAGCATGTGGTGGGCAGGCATAAACTTTACAACACCAACATCCATCTTAAAATATTGTATTAAAAAATTTACATCAATATGTAAAAAGCTGCAAGTTAATATTTTAAAAATTCATCGTCTTAGTGGTAATTACATTGGGTTTGGGGGGGAAAAAAAAGAATCACTCTCTGGATGAAGCATACAAACTGATTTTTAGACCTGGCTTTGCATCCCGGGCCGGTACGATTAAACATAGGCGTTCTTGTCAAAGTGCTTTGGCGGGGACTTGTCTGGGACGGTGGTGTGGACCTTTGTGCGGGAAGACATCACGGACGCGGCTCCGTTATATGCGTACCCCATCCTGAGGAGAAGAGAGAACCGCCCGGTTACAGCCTTCCCAAAACACCGGCAGCAGCTCCGTAGCCGAGCATTGGAATAAGACAAACCCAGAGGAAACRCAGAGGGGTAAAGGCAGGAGCAGGGGGGCACCTTCCCATGTGCCACTCATCCGTTTTGGTGTCTCACCCCCAGCATCTCCCTTGGCACTTCCACGTGAGCGTGAGCCCCATGTGCAGGGCCCAGGAAGTGAGGGGCCCAAGCAGATGAATCATTTGGGCTCTGGTGGATCCCACATTCACAGCTCCTCACCCCAGCTGTGCCTCTGCTCATCACCCCTCTTCTTCCCGGCCCTCAGCCCTGTCCCCTCTCACCCCATGTTTTAAGGTCAAAGGAACCTGTCCCCACTGGTTCCACTTGCACTCCTAAGGTGACCTGACCACATTTCCTACATCACCAAGTTGATTTTTTTTCCAATTATAATTAATGTGTTAAATATATAAAATACATTTTTTATGGAATTAGTAGCTTTTCTTAATTACATTAATGATAGAGAATTATCTTTAAATCCCACTCTTTGCTTTCCTCCCTACCATCCTTTTCTCGGTACCGCAGGTACCGAGAAAAGGATGGTAGGGAGGAAARCAAAGAGCTTTGGAGCAAAGGGCTTTGGGAAAGGAACCCAGCTTGCACCCACGCAGCAGGCACAACGGTGCCGGTGATCCCGGAGTCCTGCAGGAATCGCGGCTCGCACGTTACCTTGGGGTGCTGCTGCTTTCTGCTATGGAGAAGCAGAATATGCTGCCGCCGATGATGCAGAGCGACGCTCCGGCCCAGCCTATGAACAAGGCTGCTCCTAGTTCATACCTATGAGTGAACAAACGCCTTTAGTGCAAGCAGAGGGAAGTTTCTTTTCAGAATGAAACAACTAAATTGCATTTTTCTTTTACTTGCATTTAAATTAAATTGCATTTAACTTACTTTTACTACGTGACATATTATTCACAGAAAAAAATCAAGATGAAACAACCTTCTATCTGTTCAAGGACTGGGCTTCACCTGATCAGGAACGGATGAGCACTGACCACCCAGGACACCACTGGACCTGCAGCTGCAGCTCCAACTACTTAACTGCCAGACCCTTTGCCAAGAGAAATGGTAGCACAAGCTCATGTTCACATTTCCACCTAACAGTGCTTAAAATATGCTTTGCTGGAGGCAGATGGGAGAGATAGGAGAGAACCAATTCCTGTCTCCTCCATGGAAACTCTTCCATTGCACAAAAATATAATTCAAGGCTAAACTGGGGTGGAAAGTTGCTGCCTGGCTCTTGCCTGCTATTTGGGAAGCAGAAGACATGAGGTCTGGTCGTTGTTCCTGGGGTGGTTTGTATGTTTTAACCAACTTTCAATAATATAACACACGTAAGCAAGTATGGAGCCTTTAAGATTACTGCCACCCTGCAGGATTAATGAGCTGCAGAGCCAAATTGGCCTTTCCTTGACATCTTTGCACAGATAAAGGCTCCTTTGGCTTACATCAATGCTTATCAGGAAATTTTCTATTTTTCAATTGTGTATAAGCCCCATGTATGGCTCCTTCAACTTCATCCAACTGGATTTTTCAGCATTCAAGACATGAAGGCTAAACTTCTGTCCAGAATCCACTGTGTACCATATCCAGGAACATTATATTCATTGGTCGCTCCTGAAACCAACACTGGAGACTAAACTTTTGCTTTAGAAGAAACGACAGGGAAATCCGCCTGAAGAAAAAGATCACTCAGAAACCGATGGCTGACCAGAGGAGAACAGGACACTGAGGAAGAGGCTGATGGTGGCGACCACGAAAGACTGCAATCAACGGTGGTGAACTCAAAGGCACCTTCAGCTCAACGAACAGGCTAACAGCAGATTATTTTACTCTAATCCAGGGAGGAGGAATTCAGTGAAATGAAGTCTAGTACCAATATAGAAGAAAAATAGCCTAGCTGTTACATACGTCAGGTCTGTGAAGCAAACTTTTGAGCAAAATACCTGAAAGTTAATTAGCCAGTTGGGTGAAATCCAGAACATATATAGAGAACATATCTTTTCCATGAATCAGAACATATCTTTTTGATGAATCAGTGCAACTATCCAACTAATTCTTACAGTTCTTAGAAAAAAAAATACATTTGAAGCTATGTGGCAGCGTGACAGTGCAAAAAAGTAGGCTAATAATTCTTTGCTTCTGCCCACTTAGGTCCCTCAGCCCCAAATGAAATCTGAGCACTGCCTTAGAGAAGCAAAATAAAGGCACAGAGAAGGGTGCAAGAAATGATAAAACAGCTGAAAAAAGAAGGCTATGTGAACTGTGCCTGGGCAGTTCACAGGAAAAAGGGTGAAGGGAAACAGCTCCCCATAAACTATGTGGATAGTTTATCCAAGTAGTTGGATAACTGCTCTCCATTCATCAGTAATAATAATCATGATTTTAGAGCTCTAACTTTAGCAAGAGTGAAAAAAAGGATAAAGATTAGAGAAGCTTTTATTAAAAGCAGTAAAGCAACAACTTACAGAAGTTTTGGGAACAGATTTAGCAAGACAGGAAAACAGAAGCAGAGATTTTCCTCCTATTAGAGATGTTTCCAGAAAAATGAAATTAATCTCAGCTACAAGTACCCAGGAGTCCAGGGCTGTTGCTACAGCTCTATGCATGTTAGCACACACAAGCATTTCAAGTTGATTTAAAATACTAATGCAAACTACTGCATTTGAATCTAAAACTCAGTCTAAGATTTCTTTTTAAGTAAGCCTTTTTTTGAGATGCCTGCCATTCCTCAAGCTGAASACATAAAATTGCATCAGAAGGCTCTTGGTCAACAGCTTTGGGCAGGTTTCGGATTCCTCCTGCCCATCCATGTTTATGTGCCTCTTCCAAATGCTGAAGAATGGAGTGAGACTGGATAGAGAAGAATRGAGTCAGAATGGACAGTGTTGCCAGCAGGTCAAGGGAATGGATCCTGCTCCTCTCCTCAGCTCTGGGGAGGCTGCACCTGGAGTATTGGGGGCAGTTCTGGGCTCCCCAGTATAAGAGGGATGTGGAGCTTCTAGAGAGGGTCCAGCAGAGAGTGACAAAGGTGATTAAGGGACTGCAGCATCTCTCGTATGAGGAGAGACTGAGTGAGCTGGGCCTGTTTTCTCAGGAGAAGAGAAGGCTGAGAGGGGATCTGATCGACATGTATAAGTTCATGAAGGGGGAATGTAGGGAGGAAGGSGCCAAGCTCTTCTCAGTGGTGGCCAGTGACAGGACAAGGGGCARTGGGTACAAGCTGCAACACAGGCAGTTCCATCTKCATGTGAGGAGGAACTTCTKTCCTGTGAGGGTGCCAGAGCCCTGGCMCAGGCTGCCCAGGGAGGCTGTGGAGTCTCCTTCKCTGGAGATCTTCCCAACCCACCTGGATGCCGCCCTGTGCCCCGTGCTCTGGGTGTCCCTGCTGGAGCAGGGGGGTTGGACTRGATGATCTCTAGAGGTCCCTTCCAACCTCAGCCATCCTGTGAGTCTGGGAGATTGGGTTGGCTGAAACAGTGCTTTACATTTGGTGCCGTTTGTTGTCAGCTAATGATGCTTTGGGCCTCCTCTCTGCCACCACCAGAAGAACTCAGGGTGAGCAGAGGKCAGCATGAGGGGAACGGCTGAATCCCACCGCAGCCCCCCTGCCAGTTAGGGGCCAGTGCCATATTGCCATCACACACCAGAAAAGCCCTATTTAAAGTTTCTGCACCACATATCACAGAATCACACCGAATCACAAAGTGCCTGAGGTAGAAAGGGACCTCTAGAGATCATCCAGTCCAACCCCCTGCTCCAGCAGGGACACCCAGAGCACAGGGCACAGGGCGGCATCCAGGCGGCTTGGGAAGATCTCCAGAGAAGGAGACTCCAGGTACTTATACATCAACATTTAGTTTGCAGAAAGCATGGAACAAATTYGCAGCATTTTCTACCCCGGTTCAGAAAGAAAGCAGCCAAACGTCGCCAGCACCGTGGTCACCAGACGCAAGCTCATTGCGTCGGCTGCATCATCCAAATGGCAACACCTGCTTTTCCCCTCTGCCTCTATTCTTTGCACTGTAGCAAGCTACTGTGGGTGCTCACAGTTGTGCTGCCCTCCTCACGTGGGAAACAGGCCACGTTTCCACAGGGAAACATGCAGAGGACGTTTCGCTGCCTTTATTTGAGTATTTTAAATAGGATTTCTCATTTGCTTCCCGGCAAACTGGGCCACAGATTCTGTCTGCTCTTTCGCAACAGAGCGGGACACAGTATGGAGCAAAGGGGATGCTGGCACCAATTCAGGCATTTCCCACGACTACCAGCGGGCCTGATGAATAATTAACTTCCATAATTAACTGCTGGCTGTAGAGACAGTCTTCATTTCTTCACAGTAGCACACAACCCCATTTCCTTCGGTGGCCTTTGGATCCTGTTTTCAGCATGTGAATCAAGCAGAAACCACAGCAGACTTACAAAGGAAACTAATATTGACTTGTTTTCAAGAAAAAAGAAGTTGTGTCATTTTTTTCTAAAGGGAATTTTACATTACAAAAGAAACCAGCACATGGCAATCTAAGATGCTATAACTTATGGCAAACATTTTCAAACTGGGTGGCTAAGATATGAATCAAAAATCCACACGCTGGGTKGTGAATTGCTGGTGTTTTGGACTTGCAGAGCCCAGTATTTTAAAAGGAGTCTGAAGGGATGCTTATTATCTCTGATATGGCTGCTGCAGATGTGTGTAAACACATATGCCCTAAAGTTTTATCACACCTATAGCCAGAGCAACCTAAATAATTATATTAGTGATGGCATGATTATGGGTTATGATAAAGTTTTCAATCCAGAATTTTAGGTATCTGGATTTAAAAATAATAAAAAAAATGCAGAACTTGTAAAAACCTCTTCTCCAGAGGGATCAAGACTTGTGCAAAGCTCAGCATCTTTATGAAAACCATCAYGGATCTACAAGGAAATTTTTTTTTCACTTCCTATTAAATTTCTTGTCAAATGAGTGTCTTTGGATATCCTTTTTCCTGCATCTCTGATATAAAGATAACTGAGATAACTAGAGTTGTTCTGTGGGAAGTGTTGCAGAATCCCATCACGTCATAACCTTGGGCACAAAGATTACAAACCAAGGACCGTGTGGAGATGCATCAGTTCATTCAACTTGAGCTCATGGTTGRATAATACGATTAAACAGAACTGCTAATCACTTGTTTCTGCCCAACAGTAGTGGCATCTGCCTTCCATGTAAATGACTTCTGGTGTGTGGTAGGGAATTCGAGCTCTATTTCTTTGAACGATTTGTGGGTAGCAGAAAAGTTACTTACTTCTGTGCAACAAAAGTGGGATCAAAGAACTCGGACGTAATCTTGTTCGCGTACAGGGAACAACTGGTCATTGAGCACAACCCTGGAAAAGGGGAGACAAACTCTTCAGCGGGACCGGCAGAAGGTGCTTTGGGCCTGACCCTACAGCTGCTGAAACCATGCGGTATCGTGCATGGATCTCTGAGGGAAAACAAAAAGCAGCTCTAATACAACTTCAAATATAGCAGCTTGAGAGAAAGAAAGTCATATTTACCGGAAAGTATGAAAATCAATCCAGCTAAACAAGCTATTTTAGCTTTAGTGTGATCGGAGCCTCCAACTTTGGTGCACTTCATCCCAACCAGTCCAAACACAGCACCAAAGAATCCGAGGCAGACGGCAGAGATCATCAGTCCTCTGCAGGCTTGGATGTAACCTGCAATCACAAGGTGGGACAGGGTGAGAGCAGGGACCGGGCTGGATTTCACCGCAGCTCCCTTCGCCCGCCCGGGGTTGGGCAGTAATTAGCACACGCGGAATGAGGCCTCTGACGGAGCAACGTGCGCTCAAATGTGGGGCMAGGCTGAGACCAAGCCACTGCCATGAGCAGCGAGTACCAGGGGCACGAGTAAAGGCTGCCTTCAACCGAGCACAGCTTTCCAGGATRCTCCAAACCCCTTGGGGTAAGGCCCCGGGATAACCGTTTGCTTGGTGCCTTCTGAGATCTCTCTGCAATAAAAACTCCCACCACACAAACCACACACCTCTGCTTTTGGAACTGTGCTGAATACACCCCAAAGCTCAATAATCACCCCTGAAAGTTTTTCTCCATGGAGAAAAACCGTTTCATCTCATGTCAAATAGAAACCTACTGCCATTACTGTTTCCATTCTTTGCTCCTTGATCTCCAGTGGGTGGAAGGGTTTGAGTGAGGTTTTCATCTTCCACATTCACAAAACAGACACCAAATAAACAAGCAAAATGTACGAAAGACCTTAATGAAGATGTTAATTATTATACTAAAACAAGAACAAGGGTACAGCAAAGGAAAGCGGAAGGCAGACAATCAAAAACAAAGAGGTGGCAGTTCATGTAGCCCACCGTTAAGCTGGGGAATTCCTTGCCCCGGGACACTGTGGGCGCTGCAGGCTTATGCAGGCTTCCTGAGTGAAAGATGCCAGATAAATTAATCAAAGAGAAATTCGCATCTGGCTGGGCAGTCCCTGAGCTGCACGGGAGCAGACCCTGGGAGAAGCCATCACAAAGTCTGGGCTCTTGTTAAGACTCCTCCTGTGCATCCACTTTGACTGCTGCTGGACACAGATGAGCTCTGGTCCAGCCCAGGATGACCACCCTTATGCTTGAACATGAACGAGCGGCTTAAAATATCATTGATTTCCAGCACACAAGCAGCAATTTGGAGCACATCACACCATGTTTTATTGGTCCTACAGAGTTCAGGTGCTACACTGTGTGTCTTTAAACACRACCTCCTGGTATTTGTCTATAATCCCTTTACATTCATGCAGAAATCTTTCTGGCACATCTACCTGTCTGCTAAAGAAAAATAATTTTCAATATAATCATTGTAACTGCCATAAGATTTTACTATCRGAATATAAGACAGAGTCACTTGCATCAGCTTAAGGTGTTTGGCATTGTAATTAGTTAAGTCTGAGCTAACAAGGCAGAAACCTGTGGTGGGTAGATGTGCTGCCCTCTGGAGGAACCTCTTTTTCTCCATTGATGATGAACGAAGTGCAGGCCAAGATCACACATTACACATCTAAATTTCAGATATCTAAAATCAGGTGTGATAGCTCTTCTTATTTATATGTAATAATATATCACCATTTTCAAATATGTATTTTGAARGAGGATAAAGAAAACATGTTCAGTTCTGACAGAAACCCACCTCAAATACGTTTTTCCTTGCTACAGTGTTGCTTCAACAYTATAACCATGTTTAAACATGGAGCTGGAAAACCACCTGCTATTTGTAYGCAAAACAACTTCTCCTTTTGGTTCCAGGACTTCTATTGTGCTAATGCACTAACTGTGCTATATGTACTAACACACCAACGCAGAATATTTAGACAAGCATGGCCTGTATGTTCTCTTAGCGGCTGTCAGGAAACCTAGGACGTGGTTGCTCCKAGGATAACAGACTTTTTGCCACGTTGCTGTTCCTTAAAAGCTTTTCAAAATATGTGAGGAACAACACATGCCAGCACTGGGGCCAGTGACCCAGTGCTGCACCCGATCAACCTCTCGCCCGCTGTCACTGCAGCACAGCTCAGTGAGGAAACTGTTGTTGATTCTGGTCTTCTCCTCCAGTCGCTGCTAAGGGGCATCAGTCCCACACCAGCAACCATGAGAAGTGTTCATCTGCCCAGGTTCCTCTCAAACCCCGACATGTGCAGTCAGGATCCCCTACGTAGTCCCCCAACATCGCAGCAGAGATGCCTTCACTCACCCCAGAGTGAGTGAAAGAAGAATTGTGAAGCTCCATCCTGAGCTCCAGCTCAAAGAGTTGTGAAGCACCATCGTGGCCTGTAGCATAGAGGCCACCTCTAAAAACATCAGAGGAACATCCAACAAAAGGACTGCGGAGCAAAGACTTACAGATCTCAGTCTATGATGGCCATCTGCCCAAGCTCTGCCTGGTACTGGTATCCCAATTTTCATTTGGGATCTCCAAGAACACAAAAAACTATGGATACACATAGAAGTATATCTGTTACTATTCTATATCACATATATTCTGTRTCTATATCATATACTATAAAAAGATTCTTCGTTTCTGGTATTCACCAGACCAAATGCTGCTTTATAATCACTTGAGAAAACCAAGCAGTTTTTCACCAAAAATAACCAAGGCATTAATTCACTCTATCCTAATATAGTTGCCTACAATAAAGCTGATGAATTGTGCTTCATTTTTCTCAAAGGATCACAACAAGAGCCTAGGGTGATTCACAGCAAACAACTACTGCAGTTATCTGAAATCAGGTGAGATGATAACTCCCCTTCCAGTCAACCTGCAAGGAGCAAATTCCCTTAATGGAAAGTGGAGTAAAACCAAGTCAGTGAGGGTCAAATTCTGATGATAGGTAAATTTCTACTTTTGAATCACATCCAAATCCAGGTGTGGCTCTTGGTTTATAAGATACACATTAGAAAAAGCAGTCTTAGGTAGTTAATTTTGCTATAGACAACATTCAAAATTCCACTTTTACTTCTTTGTCTGGTATGCAAATGTTTCTCTTGTAATATTATGCATACTTAGGTAAAGCGGGAGGTGAAAAGTGGCAAAGAAACTATTATTTTTGGCAGGTCCAATTTATGGACATTGTTAGTAGTTAAGCGACACATTAAGGTGCTGAACCATGAACACATTTACTCAAAGGTCCTCTAAATTTTTATTTATGCCTGAACCTCCGAGGAGAAACAGTCAATATTCACCCCAACCAAAAGGACTAGCACTTGCTCGAARCAACAGGGCTGAAATGCAGTTGTTACTGAAGGTCAATACATAGGTTTACAATAAGTGGAGGGAAGCGAGGCAACAAGAAATAATTAACCCACTCACCCACAGATCATTTTCAGTTTTAAATGGCATGACCTGGAGCACCACTCAGCTCTGCTGAATGAATAACCTCCCTCCCTGAATGTTTTACCAAATCCGATGGCCAAGCCAGGCTCTGACATGGTGCACTGCACTATGGTGATTATCCCACCAGCATCTATTTTTAAAGCAAGACTTACGAAAAGCTGACCACCTATAGCACTAATGTGGGAGAACGGATTGACTTTGTGAGATCTGTTAGGCTACTCAAATATTGACAAGTGTAAATGGGCGAAATCAGCGTTTTCACCAAACCTCAGCTCCATCTTCAGCCCCGACCCTGATTAAAAGTGACTGTTGGAGAGCATTTGGCTGTGCCAGTGATTAAATTTCTTCTTTGCTTCTTGGAAAATAAGAACATTGCACTCTAAGACCTATGATGGCATAAGGAGGAGTTGTCAATTTTTTCATGCTCTTCAACTGAAGTCCAAAGACTACCTCCTTTCCAAATATTTATTATATGCATTTGCAGCAGGGCCTGTCAAAAGCTGGTACCTAACCATGCACAGGTTGAGGAAAAGCTTCTTTACCGTGAGGGGGTTGGAGCACTGGAGCAGGTTGTGGAGGCTCCTTCCTTGGAGGCATTYGGTGGTCATCTGGAGAGGGTCTTGGGCAACGTGCTCTAGCAGCCCCTGCTTGAACAGGGGGGCTGGACTAGACCATCTCCAGAGGTGCCTTCCAACCTCAGCCCTTCTGTGACTCTGTGAGTCCCCAAATGAACAGCCAACGAAAGCCGTAGGCTTCAAGCAGACAAGCAGACAAGCCTGCATTACTCATAAAGTCATGTTTTGCAGCATTCCAAGAGAAAAGTATCTATCTCGTGTGTGTGTTTTTTCTTTTTTAAACAAATGTGTTTTGTCTTGCATTCAAATTAATCTTGTTGGGCTATCGTCTCTCTTGCCTCAGTGCTCCTGCGTGAGTCAAAGAGTCAGCAAGAATTCACATATGCACAGCACAGGAGACACGAGCAATGCTGCTGCCGTGGRGGTTGCCACTCTCACAACAAGCAGCCCTGGTGGCACCTCGGGGTCCACGTCACGTGCAGCACCAGCGGTTGCCTTATGAAGGGAGCACAGATTCTTTCCAGCAGAACACACCCAGAGCACTCACGCTTGTGTATGTTTTCCTAAGCTCTAATACCCTCTTTTATCACATGGTTTTGTTCGGCTGCGCTCTTTCAAAAGGTCACTTGTTCCCCTGTAGGAACCACTGTAACTGATAGCACCGGCTTTGGGCAGGTGGCTTCGTGGCTCGGTTTCCACCTAAGAGCACTAGTGTGCAGAAGTAAACCTGCAGTGAACTTCAGTGCCACGGGCAGCAAGGGGCGTTTTGGTCACAGAATCMCAGGATGGTTGAGGTTGGAAGGGACCTCTAGAGATCATCCAGTCCAACCCCCTGCTCCAGCAGGGACACCCAGAGCACGGGGCACAGGGCGGCATCCAGGCGAGTTGGGAAGATYTCCAGAGAAGGAGACTCCACAGCCTCCCTGGGCAGCCTGTGCCAGGGCTCTGGCACCCTCACAGGAAAGAAGTTCCTCCTCACATGCGGAGGAATATGCAGAGGAAAACATATTGATCAGATCCCCCCTCAACCTTCTCTTCTCCAGACTAAACTGCCCCAGCTTGCTTAGTCTTTCCTCATATGAAAGACGTTCCTGTCCCTTAATCATCTTGGTTGCCCTCCGCTAGACCCTCCCTAGAAGCTCCACGTCCCTCTTATACTGGGGAGTCCAGAGCTGCCCCCAGTACTCCAGGTGCGGCCTCCCCAGAGCTGGTCTATGCAAAATGTGACAATGACCCTCCTGTTAGGATGGCATCACGTGCAATTTTTCCTCTGACAGCCGCCAGGACAGCGCGAAGGCCCTAAAGCCCGTTAGTGCCCTGAGGACAACCCCTGGTCTATCTCAGAGCTTCTCATTGAGGCCAGTTTATCTTGGAGGAATCCAGCTGCATAGCCCAACACCCCTCCATGAGGCAATGACCTGGAGAGGGGCCTCGCTCTCCCGATTGCTTCTCACCCAAGTTCAAATGTGGACATCCCAAAACAGCAAGACTTCTCCTGGGGTACCAGGGCATGGTGATATGCTGGTTATATACACCCTGGTGATGCTGTCACATACCTGAGAAGCTGCTCCTGGTATGATTTCGAGCAAAGCTTGGAGATTTCCAATAGAGCAAAGGAGCAGCTCTGCTGGGAAAAGGCTCACCAGGCACACGAGGAAGGTGCGGAGCTACCCTTGAAGAACAAACCAAGCTGCGACTTATTTCCCYAGCCTTCCCTACCATCTTGAAGGCTGCAACTTGTTTTCCATGCGCTCATCTCCAAGGGGCTAACAGTTTCCGCTCACAAAAACAGCGGGGAAGACGGGAAGTCAGATCTGTCCTCGTTTGCTCCTTGCGAAGCCCCCTCCCGAGGACGCAGTGCTGATGTTCCCGCGTCCCCCGTGACCGAAGACAACACGCAGGTCAGCACGGCGCGTCCCGGGCGAGGAGGAGGAGGAGGGAGGAGAGAGGCTGCTGGCGGGCCAGCGGCAGGGCGGCTGCCTGCAGGTGCCCGRATTCTCCTGCGCTCGGCGAGACGCGCGGCAGCCCCCACGGGTGCTCCTGCTGTGGGGCGGGCCGGGGCACCGCGGGGCCTCGGGACGAGGCCGCAGCTCCGACAAACAATGACTTTGTTCTCTCCCCCGCCCGCCTTTTATTTGGATTGTGGCCGGGTACCGGGATCCGGCCCCGCGGCAGCTGGAGATCCTGGTGAGAAGCACGGATGCCAAACGTCAGGACGGGATGGATGGGGCGCCCCCGGGGTGCCGCTCGGAGGCATTTCTGTCCAAACGAGCTCCTGCCCTACAGGGACAGCCCAGGCTGTCAGAGCACAACCCTTACTGTGGGGACCTCATTTCTGGGAGAAGCACTGGGTAGCAAAGGTTTTGTGGGATAATCCCGGAGGAAGGGGACACAGCTGCTCTTCCTCCTCCTCCCTCGGGGACTGCAGACKTCCCTCCTCACACACGCGTGGCTTCCAGCAGCCGCTGGCGACCGCTCTGCCCCTGCCCGGGCAGCTCATCCCGGCCAAGAGCCGGCGTGCCGGGGCGGCTGCTGCGCGCCAGGGCTGCCGCTCCAGCCGGGTGCCTGACCGGAGGAACCGCGCCAGGACACCACTCTGGTACCACGGGATTGGGGCAGAAAAGCCTCGAGGAAAGGCTCGTCTCYGTCCGATGGAAACATCCTGTGATGTGCCAGGTCCCCTCGCTTTGGTGGCGTTAACCTCAGCCCCTGGCAGTGATCCCGCTGCCACAGTTTCCTCTCYCTGCACCCAAAGCCGCTCGCCGCAGGCCCCGGTTCCGAGGAGGCGCCGGGACGGAGCGCGCCTGGCCGAGGTGGCTCCTCCTGGAGCACCGAAGCCGCCAGGGAAGCGCCGAGGCTCCTCCGTCCTGCCCACACACACGCTGGCTCTGATCTGGTGCCACCGGCACTTTCACTGTCCCTACCAAAGCTCTAATTGGCACCGATTTATCAAGTGAGAGTTTAACGACGTCTTGCAGTGACTCAGTTTCCCACTAGGGTTTCCGGGAAGAGTGAAAAACACTTGCTCCGGGAYGAGGAAAGACACGCAGGGAAAGACACCTCCTCGGCCCGCGGGCGCCGTCACAGAGCCCCAAGCTGGGCTTTGAGACTGCGTCGTGGCGCATCCCTCGGGATGCATCCAGCCGCCCGTCGCCAGCCCTTAGCGCGGACATTTACCAGCGCGSCCGCCACCTCGCAGGGAATGCCCGTGCGGAGAGAAGGGCAGGAAAGGAGAAAGGGAGCGCTCAGCAGCAGGACGGCACCGCGGCTCGTCCCCCTCYGCCAGCCCTGTGCCTGCAGGGCCATCCCAAGGGAGACGGGGCGAYGAGCGGGGAAGGGAGAAGCAGCGCCAGCCCTTGGTGTCCAGCGGAGCCTCCCCACGGCCACCAGCGCCGCGGCAGAGCAGACGGCGGAGCCGGCGGGTCCCAGCGCGCCCACCGCAGTGCCGTCCGCTCTGGGGACACCCCCGCGCCGGGGGGCTGCCCCACGGCCCCCATCACCCCCATCGCGCCCCCCTGCTCCCCAGGCGCCACCTCCCCCGGYTCCGGACAGACCCACGGAGGGCGGGGGTGCGTGGGGGGCTGCTGACCGTCCAGCGCCAGCATGGAGGGGAAGTCCTTGCAGTTGGAGACGCCGGTGGAGTCGGTCACGCAGGTCTTCCAGAGGTTGGCCCAGAAGGTGGCCGTGGTGATGACGGTGCCGTCGATGGACGAGACCTTCCAGTAGTCGGTGGGCAGCGTGGAGGAGACCAGCACCCAGCCCGAGAGGCTCAGCACGAAGGCGATGATCTCCGCCGACGTGCTCGCCATGGGGCCGGCTCGAGCAGCCCCACGAGCGGCGCGTCCCGGCCCGGCCCGGCCCGACCCGACCCGCTCAGCCCCGGCCCGGCCCCGGCCCGGCCCGGCCGCCGCCCCGGCCCAATGAGCGCCCGCGGCTCCGGCCCGCCCGGCGGGGCGGGACCTCGGCCCGGCCCGCGGCCCGCGCGGGGGAAATCCCGGGATAAATCCCGGCACGGGGACAGGAGAAGCTCCGGGGGGAAAATGCAAAAGGAAGAGRCAATGAAAACAACAACGACAACAACAAGCCCTGGCACCAGCAYTGCCTGAGACGTGTATTCTCCTCCCCGACGGGGAGACAGGTGTTTTCACTGCATTTTCCCCCTGTCCTTACATCCCGACGTGGAGCTTTAACCCTCCCGCCAGGCCGCTCACCCGCCGGGAATGCTGCACACCCGCCAGGAACGCTGCACGCCCATTGGGAACGCTGCACGCCCGCCGGGAAGGCTGCACATCCGCCGGGAACGCTGCACGCCGGGCGCTTCGCCCACGTTAGCCCTGAAGTTGCCCGTTCCCCACGTGGCGGCCACGCTGGGCCCAGACGGCCCCGTCGGGCACCAGCCACGCTGGCTTCCAACAGCCCCTGCAAAGCAGGGCTCTGCGCAAAGCAGGGCTCTGTGCAAAGCAGGGCTCTGTGCAAAGCAGGGCTCTGTGCAAAGCAGGGCTCTGCAAAGCAGGGCTCTGTGCGCCGTGCTGGAGCACAGAACCACACAATCATGGAATCACGGAATGGTTGAGGTTGGAAGGGACCTCTAGAGATCATCCAGTCCAACTCCCTGCCCCAGCAGGGACACCCAGGGCACAGGGCACAGGTAGCTGGGTGCCCGCTGCTTGTGCAGAGATTTTGCACATGTGCTTTTTAATCCTCCCCGTTTCGACCGATGTGGTTATTAAGCGGCCCCGGACAGGACGGCTTTCAGCAGCCCTGCAGCTTTAGCGGGTGATGAACGTGGACTTTCCTGCCTCCCTGTATCCGTGTGGGACGCTGCCATTCGTGGGGCAGAGCCGCACGTTGTGGCTCCTCTTGTTAAGAGCTGTTTGCTTTCCACTTCAGTAGTGTATTTGGCACTGGTCTGGAAAGTACACTGCCTGTCTTTGCTTTCCTCCTATTTGTTTCAAAACTATTGTTACACTTTCTAACCTTATTCTTTTTGCCAGCCAGGCAATCACTGGAGGACGAGAAAGCCACATTTACATCATTCCTGTGTGATAAATGCTCTTTGGTGTTACCATGTGGAAACCAACCCGGATGCAATCACCTTATCGCTATGTGGCTGCTCAAAGGAAAAAGCACTTGGACAAGTGTCAGAGCTCGAGGGGAGCAAGCGGTCGGAGGGATAAAATGGGCTGCGATTACTGCTGTCCTTTCCCTCTCCTCTCCTCTCCTCTCCTCTCCTCTCCTCTCCTCTCCTCTCCTCTCCTCTCCTCTCCTC